GCATTCCATCCAGCTTGTGTGTTGCATTTTTGATTGTTGTGGCAGTTGTTCGTCGTTGCTAAGTAGTTGCTCCATGGTTTCTTTTGCTAGGTTTTGTCCGATGGATGTATATAATGCTGTCACGTCGAATGATACCATTATTTCTTGTTCATCTATTTGGATGCCTCTGATTTTCTCTAGGAATTGGATAGCAGAGTTGATGGAGTGATCGCAAGATTCCGTTAGGTGTTTTAGTTTTCTGTATAATTCTTTGGATAAATTATATGTTGGAGTTCCTGGGAGTGATACAATTGGTCGTAATGGGATATTTGCCTTGTGTATTTTGGGTCTGCCGTAGAATATACGTTAGTACGTGTTTAACTTTCTGCCTCTCAGGTTTTCCCGTCTTTCATCTGCTAGGACAGTGGAGGTCAATTGGATATTTAATTTGTCCTTGGCAAGTGCAATCGTGTGAGGTTTTGTGTAGTTGTGTTATGCGTCGTTTGTAAGCAACTTTGACAAACACAGATGTAACATTTGACTATTTTAACATTGTTCCACTATTTTTTATACAGATACACTGCTCTTTTCGTTATAAACTCCCTTGAAACTGGTCAGGCATTATGGTGGCTATCAGTGACTACCATCCCGTGGGTCCCAATGCATTTCTTGAGTTTTGGTTATACGTAGAGTATTTCCTACTTCGATATTTGTCAATCACACAGTCTGGTATCCTGTGTTTCCTGCGAATTAACTGTGAGAATGTGTGGCAATAATGTGCTTCGTTGACGAGCCCTTTTTCTAGAATTTTATCGCAGGTAATCGGTGCGAGGGGAAGCAGCACATATGTAAGAAGCTACGAACGCATTAGAAGACTTTCAAAAGGCGTGGAATTTGTGTATTGCTAACAGTGACGAACTTTTCCACACACCAGCATGTGGATCCGTTCACATGCAGAGAAAAAATCCGCGTGAGATTTTGTATAGTAGTCAGACAGCGTTGTGGAACTTTCATCTGCCCTGTATGTTACCCTCTGGTATTTTCGTCCCTAGACCACTAAGAAGGTATTATCAAATATATTCTTGTAACATGATTCGATGGCACTGCAATGCAGTTGAGGATTGGACAATCAATTCATGGTTGTTTGCTCAAGCACAACTCCTCCATATTTTTCGCAAGAGTCATCTAACCAGTAGTCATCGTCTCAGTGTTCGCTGTTCAGTAGAAGATAAAAACCTATCGGAAGTATCAAGGTGATTTATTGCTATAACATTAATTCTTAGCCATTCAGTATAAAAACCTCAATGTTGATAACAAGTTGGCGTAGGAATAAAGGAAGCTTGAGGTGCCAATCTCTGTTATGGCCCTAGCGATGGTTAACACAAACAGTTTCAGAAAGTGGTAGCCGTAATAATGCAGCGGTGCTCTCTGAGATATCGTCACCTGAAATGGCATTCGCTGAATACTGACAGGTAGACTATGGCAGTTTCATCTTAAGGAACATATATTAAGGCGTCTTGGTGAGTTGCACTTGAATCTTTTGGTAATTAAGTTGGTACCGAAATAGGCCATAGAGCCAGTTTTGGGAAATGTGCTTTTTTAGGACGATTGCAACCATTCCATACCTAAAGTATGTTTCACGATGTCACTTGTGTAGCATTCGCCAAATTGCTAAATCTTTGGCGTAGGTGTGACATTAGGTTATCGACCAAATGCTTGCATATCATTTGATAGTTACTTTCGCCCACAATGTCCTGAAGCATTGTCATCGAAAGCGACAGATGTCAAAAGTACAAATGTTTTTGAACACTGGTGTCTGAACTGTCTCCCGTGTCAAGTGGTAGATAATATTTTGGTTTTTACTAGAAAAGAAAGTGAGCTGATATAGATTCATATAGATAGGATACGTGAAATGAATGCTGAACCGTTATCTTTCTTATTGGGCAAGTTCATCTGATATGGAATTAGAATGAAAAAGGTTTGGCACTGGCTAGATAACGCATCTCACCAATTCAAGAAGTTTGACAGTTGGTATGAGCCAACTAGGGAAGGTGTAGTCTAATTGGAATACGGGGTCACATGGTTCACAATTGTTTTGAAATGACGAAGATGCAATCACTTTAGTAGACTCTCATATGTCTGTCTGTCCGTTTTCGGCATAGAACTTTGCACTTATGTGTGGCAGTTCACGTCGCCACACTCCATGTAGCAGATAAGGCAAGAGGAGAAAGAAGAAGAAATGCATAATAGGGACAGTAAACAGTTTTGAGACAAAGAAATAGTAGTAACGAAGATCGAAACAGTTTCATTGGAAATCATAAGTCACAAGGAGTGGATGCATCTGCGCCATTGAGAACGATTTCGAGCCATGTCACCAATTGTTTCCGACCATTGGTTTTTACCGTCCCGAGGACCCCAACCAGGAAGTCTACGCCTTCCTACGTGGCTTAGACTAACTGTTGTAGATTTCATTGACTGGTGCCATGTTTTTGTTTGACCTCCACTAGCTCTTTTCCAGCCTGACCCTATATCAGCTAACATTACCCGTCGATGGAGGCGATGACTAGGCATACTTAACACACGTCCTAACCATCTCAGTCGATGTAACTTCACAACCTCGTCGATTGATTTCCCCTGTTTACCTAGAACTCGACGCCTAACCTGTACATTGCTCACCTTATTATACCACTTCACATGGGAAATAGAACGCAGGCACCTATGATCAAAGACAGCTAATCTTTTCATGTCCTCCACTCTCAGTGACCAGGTCTCACAGCCATAAAGGAGGACGGAGCGAACTGATGAGCAGCATACCCGCCCTTTGGTCGATAGTCGGATATCACGTCTACGCCAGAGACGGCGTAAACTGGCATATGCGGAACTAGCCCTCTGTATCCGTGCTGAGATTTCGTCGGAGATCAACCCGTTGGGGCTGATGGTACTTCCCAAATAAGTGAAGCGGTCAGCGTGCTCTACCACATCACTTCCTATTTCTAATCTAGGAGTCGGTGTAGTCCAGTCCTGTAACATCATCTTGCATTTGGCGGGAGCGCATCGCATGCTAAACATTCATAGATTGCAGCTCAAGGTGTTTAGAAGACTCTGCATTTTGTCAGCGTCCTCGCCTAGAAGGACTATATCGTCTGCATATTCTAAGTCAACGAGATTATTCCCTGGTGGTAGCAAGTCAATCCCTGAGTGAGTTAGGGTTAAGTCCATTAGTACATCTATGATGAAGTTGAATAGAAATGGGGATAATGGGCGAACTTGACGGACACCACTAGTCGTCACCATTTCAGATGACAACTCGCCGTAAGCCCTCACCTAGCTGCATGAGTACGAGTAGAGTGCCTTAATCAGTGCAATGTATTTTCTCGGTATTCCTCTTACAGCCAAGCATCGCCAGAGAACCTCTCGGTCGACAGAATCGAATGACGCCTTTAGGTCAAGAAATATAATGATTGTTGGAGGCTGGTAGGAATGCCTATGTTCTGGAATCTGTCGGAGGGTGAAGATATGATCAATACACCCTCTTCCTGGTCTAAAGCCTGCCTGGGTCTCTCGTGTTTGTGCCTCCCAAGCACCACTTAGTCTACGCATGATTATTGAGCCTAGGACTCCCATGTGGGATTTTCATTGATCGCCGTAAACTTTTCTACCATGAATTTTATCTTTGGGGTTTTCTTCTACACTCGTGTTATGATGGAAATCGGCATTAAGTCGTTTATGTTTTGTATAAAGCCCCGTGTCGTAACTGTGAGTTGTCAATCAGCTATTGGCGTGAGACGAAATAGCTCACTAATTCTCACACCCGACTGAGTTTCAGTAAAGAACTTAGCACAGTAGTTCAGCAGTTTAAGTTACAACACTCCATATAGTACACAAAGGTAACGAAAGGAGATTCAAGAGAATATAATGAACATAAATGCATGAGGGGAAAATTGGTAGCACAGACGGGCATGAGAAATCGTTGGATGGTGGTGATCACAAAGAGTGAATGAATCTGCGCTACTGAGTGCGATCCTGAATGATATCACCAATAGTCTATGGCCATTTGCTTTTAGCATTCTGAAGACTCTAACTAGGTAGTCCACACCTCCTCATCTGGCCCTAACCAACTGTCATAGACTTCAAGGACTGATGCTGTTCACTAGCAGTACTGTGACTCTTGGCAGTAATTCTGATAAAGTTGCAGGTGGTAGTTGATCCAAGAGTGTTTCGAATTGATCGAACCATTGTTTCGTCTGCTCCTCCTCCTTGGTAGTTAGGTCCCATTTGCTATCCTATACAGGAGAAGTGCTGTTGAGGCCATGTATTGCACTCAGAACCCATAGGCACAATAATAGTCTTTCACTAACCCCATCTGTGTTGGTCTTTTCCCCGATAACGACCTGGTTATCTGGAACTATTTTCTGGGGTCTGTTCTGCACTGGTTACCAGCGTCGTAGAATTATTTCTCGTCTGTCTCAGCACCCTTCTTGATTCAGAGCTTTTTAGGTTGAATTGAGCTCTTCCTTTCGTTATCCATCTTTGCATTGGTTCATCTGTTTCACTATTCCTTTGTTGCCTGTTAGCTTCCAGGAGTCCGTAAACAGCCACTATTTGTATGGCCCCTCCTCCCTTTCTAAGACAGAGTTGTTGTATTCGTCGAAACAGGCTTTCTGTGTAGTGTTACATAGTGTCTTTGGCTTTTCTCCAATAGCCATAATGAGTGTCCTTTATAGTGTCATCCCTCACTTCCTGAGCGGTGGCAACTCCGGTTCAGACATTGATCAAACGCTCGATCTTCCTGTAAATCATTAGGCGAATACAGGGGAGGAGGCGTGATCTGATTCAGTTATACCAACTGTAATTAACTGGATGTCGGTCATGTTCCACAGTTGGCTGCCATAGTTTAACTTCGCTTCTTTAACTTTTGTTCATGTCAGCAACGTTTGTGTGATGAAATTGACTCTAGTTTGCACTGTTTTTCATTTTAGCATGCTTTCAAATGTTTTTAGGTATCAGGTGTTTCTATCCCAATGGCCGATTACTACACTCAGGATTATGGAGCACCAGTGGAATATAATAATTCAGAAGCTGGTTACGGGTCCACCACTCAACCTGCTGCAACGGGCAATGGAGAATACAATCAGTTTTCCTATGACCACATGAAAGATGAGGATGATTATCAAACAGGTGCTATGCGCAGCGATAGGAGACCACCAACTCCTCAGTCCAAATACGATTCTGGTAGCGATGACCGCAGTCGAGTGAAAAAACGTGACCGTAAAAGGTCGCGCAGCCGCAGCCGTGATCGCCGGCGTCACAGTCGTGACCGTGATCGACACCGTGACCGTAGCAGAGAACGTAAGTCCAGGCGGCATCATTCTCGTCATCGGTCTCCGTCAAGTCCAGCATTGGTCTACAAGTATTGGGACGTCCCACCACCTGGATTTGAGCATGTGACACCTGCTCAGTACAAAGCTCTACAGGCATCGGGTCAGATACCAGTAAATGTTTATGCCGCGGGACAAGTACCGATGCCGGTTCACGCACCGAATGCTCCACTAACACTCACAACGAACGTGCCGTTTGCTGGAAGTGCTGTATGCAGACAAGCGCGTCGTTTGTACGTTGGTAATATACCGTTTACTGCGACGGAAGAGAATATGATGGAGTTCTTCAATAAACAGATGAGGGCTCAAGGTCTCATTCAGGCAGAGGGGAATCCGATAATTGCCGTGCAGATCAACATGGAGAAGAACTTCGCCTTCCTTGAGTTCCGTTCTGTCGACGAGACAACTCAAGGATTGGCACTCGATGGTGTATTGTTTCAAAATCAAGCACTGAAACTCCGTCGACCCCGTGACTATGCTCCCCTTCCCGGTGTATCAGAGCAACCTTCTGTCATTGTTCCTGGAGTGGTCAGTACTGTCGTCCAGGATTCCCCACACAAAATATTTGTCGGTGGTCTTCCTAACTATCTGAATGAGGACCAGGTGAAAGAGCTGCTGTTGAGCTTCGGCCCTTTAAAGGGGTTCAACCTTGTCAAAGATGGCTCGACCGGTTTGTCGAAAGGTTATGCCTTCTGTGAGTACGTGGATGCTAATGTTACAGACCACGCGTGTGCCGGTCTTAATGGCATGCAGTTGGGTGACAAGAAGCTAATAGTGCAGAGAGCGAGTGTTGGTGCCAAACACACAACCAATGCCCTACCTCAGAGTTTGCTACAACTGCCTGGTCTGGAAGACGGCTCAGTTCAGAACACAACTGGTTCGGGTAATATCACCATCCGTAGTAGTGGACCACCGACGGAGGTGTTGTGTCTAATGAACATGATCGAAACGTCAGAACTGGAGGATGACGATGAGTATGAAGATATAGTAGAAGATGTGCGCGCAGAATGCAGTAAATATGGCGTTGTTCGGAGTCTGGAGATACCCCGTCCAATTCCTGGAGTTGAGGTTCCTGGGGTCGGGAAAATATATGTTGAGTTTGCCAGTTTGATTGACTGCCAGAAAGCCGCGACCGCGTTGACTGGTCGAAAGTTCAACCAGCGTTTGGTTGTCACTTCCTTCTTCAACCCTGATAACTATCACCGAAGGGAATTTTAACCATATTTGACTATGGCTGTCTTTAGTTGTATATATGACACATTTTAAACTTAATGAATTGACCTAAATAATATCTTACAGCGATTTAGTTTCGTCTTCTACTGTGTTTTGTGTGTGACGAGAGTTGGGGCAGTCCAACGAAGGGATTGCTGTCGGTCTCCGTGCGTATGTTTGAGTTTTGTGTTCGTCGTTTGTGGAAGTGCTGTGAATTCGTAAGTTTCGTGTAGGCTTCGTAGGTGAACGGTTTAATCCTCCTGTAATATGTTAGATTATTCTGGAGGTTAGTGTTTTGTGCCGAGAGGTTTACATTTCTTCCTAATTTATATTTGTTCTAAGATGCTTTGTATTTCACGAATGCATATATATCAATTACGTATACTGAGCCTAATATTTCAGTGAATTATTCCTGATAGATAAATACTAGGTTTTTGTATCACATTTCAACGTCTCATGTTGATTGTGGGAACCGCTTTGCGTTATGTCACTTAGGATTGGTACTTGTCTATCGGATTAACTTTGGCTAGAAGACCTCGCTACGTAAGTGTAGCCAAATTGGAGGACTGTATACTGAGGTATGCATAGTTTTTGGCTGTGTGTACTAAATCTTCGTGTCATGTAGTATTGGTTTGTCAGCAGACACTAACTACGGAGTTCCTAAACTCAAGACATGCCTTGAGTTTCTTCATATGCTACTGGTAGACTTCAGTATGAAGTTAACTACTAACTTAGGATTATCTATAGTGCCGTATTTGATATTATATAGAAGTCCAGGTTTCGAAGGACCTAGCTGAGGCAGTGGCCTAGATTGTGAGATACACACCTGAGACATGCTAAGTGCTCTTCCGTTGACCTGTCCCTGAGTTGTAGCACGGACTGTATCAGGCCATGTGCCGCATTTACGGACTGGCTACATTGGCCAAAAGGTAATGGGGAGGCATCCAATGTTATTTAAGGTGGTAGCCGTAATAATGCAGCGGTGCTCTCTGAGATATCGTCACCTGAAATGGCATTCGCTGAATACTGACAGGTAGACTGTCTGTCTGTTTTCGACATAGAACTTTGCACAAATGTGCGGAAGTTCAAGTCGCCACATTCCGTGTAGCACGCGAAGCAAGAGGAGAAAGTACAAGAAAAGCATAATAGAAACAGTGAGCAGAGGTGTGAGACAAAGGAGTAATAAAGGAATACAAAACAATTTCATTGAAGATCATAAGTCACAGGGAGTGGATGCATCTGCGCCACTGAGAACGATCTTGAGCCATGTCACCAACTGTTTCCAACCATAGATTTTTGCCGTCCCGAGGACCCCAGCCTGGAAGTCTACACCTTCCTACGTGGCTAAGACCAACTGTTGTGGATTTCATTGACTGATGCCATGTTTTTGTTTGACCGCCGCTAGCTTTTTTCCAGCCTGACCCTATATCCGCTAACATAGCTCGTCGAGGGAGGCGATGACTTGGCATACGTAACACATGTCCTAACCATCTCAGTCGATGTAGATTCACGACTTCGTCGATTGATTTCCCCTGTTTACCTAGAACTCGACGCCTAACCTCCATGTTGCTCACCTTATTATGCCACTTTACATGGGAAATAGAACGCAGGCACCTATGATCAAAGGCAGCTAGTCTTTTCATGTCTTCCACTCTCAGTGGCCAGGTCTCACAACCATAAAGGAGGACGGAGCGGACTGATGAGCAGTACACCCGCCCTTTGGTCGAAAGTCGAACATCTCGTCTACGCCAGAGTCGGCGTAAACTAACAAATGCGAAACGAGCCCCTTGTATTCGTGCTGAGATTTCGTCAGAGATCAGCCCGTTGTCGTTGGCTGATGGTACTTCCCAAATAAGTGAAGCGGTCAGCGTGCTCTACCACATCACTTCCTATTTCTAATCTAGGAGTCGGTGTAGTCCAGTCCTGTAACATCATCTTGCATTTGGCGGGAGCGCATCGCATGCTAAACATTCATAGATTGCAGCTCAAGGTGTTTAGAAGACTCTGCATTTTGTCAGCGTCCTCGCCTAGAAGGACTATATCGTCTGCATATTCTAAGTCAACGAGATTATTCCCTGGTGGTAGCAAGTCAATCCCTGAGTGAGTTAGGGTTAAGTCCATTAGTACATCTATGATGAAGTTGAATAGAAATGGGGATAATGGGCGAACTTGACGGACACCACTAGTCGTCACCATTTCAGATGACAACTCGCCGTAAGCCCTCACCTAGCTGCATGAGTACGAGTAGAGTGCCTTAATCAGTGCAATATATTTTCTTGGAATTCCCTTTACAGCCAAGCATCTCCAGAGAACTTCCCGATCGACAGAGTCGAATGCTGCCTTTAGGTCAAGAAATATAATGACTGTTAGACGCCGGTAGGAATGCCTATGTTCTAGAATCTGTCGGAGGGTGAAGATATGATCAATACACCCTCTTCCTGGTCTAAAGCCTGCCTGGGTCTCTCGTGTTTGTGCTTCCCGAGCACCACTCAGTCTACGCATGGACAGGTAGACTATGGCAGTTTCATCTTAAGGAACATATATTAAGGCGTCTTGGTGAGTTGCACTTGAATCTTTTGGTAATTAAGTTGGTACCGAAATAGGCCATAGAGCCAGTTTTGGGAAATGTGCTTTTTTAGGACGATTGCAACCATTCCATACCTAAAGTATGTTTCACGATGTCACTTGTGTAGCATTCGCCAAATTGCTAAATCTTTGGCGTAGGTGTGACATTAGGTTATCGACCAAATGCTTGCATATCATTTGATAGTTACTTTCGCCCACAATGTCCTGAAGCATTGTCATCGAAAGCGACAGATGTCAAAAGTACAAATGTTTTTGAACACTGGTGTCTGAGCTGTCTCCCGTGTCAAGTGGTAGATAATATTTTGGTTTTTACTAGAAAAGAAAGTGAGCTGATATAGATTCATATAGATAGGATACGTGAAATGAATGCTGAACCGTTATCTTTCTTATTGGGCAAGCTCATCTGATATGGAATTAGAATGAAAAAGGTTTGGCACTGGCTAGATAACGCATCTCACCAATTCAAGAAGTTTGACAGTTGGTATGAGCCAACTAGGGAAGGTGTAGTCTAATTGGAATACGGGGTCACATGGTTCACAATTGTTTTGAAATGACGAAGATGCAATCACTTTAGTAGACTCTCATATGTCTGTCTGTCCGTTTTCGGCATAGAACTTTGCACTTATGTGTGGCAGTTCACGTCGCCACACTCCATGTAGCAGATAAGGCAAGAGGAGAAAGAAGAAGAAATGCATAATAGGGACAGTAAACAGTTTTGAGACAAAGAAATAGTAGTAACGAAGATCGAAACAGTTTCATTGGAAATCATAAGTCACAAGGAGTGGATGCATCTGCGCCATTGAGAACGATTTCGAGCCATGTCACCAATTGTTTCCGACCATTGGTTTTTACCGTCCCGAGGACCCCAACCAGGAAGTCTACGCCTTCCTACGTGGCTTAGACTAACTGTTGTAGATTTCATTGACTGGTGCCATGTTTTTGTTTGACCTCCACTAGCTCTTTTCCAGCCTGACCCTATATCAGCTAACATTACCCGTCGAGGGAGGCGATGACTAGGCATACTTAACACACGTCCTAACCATCTCAGTCGATGTAACTTCACAACCTCGTCGATTGATTTCCCCTGTTTACCTAGAACTCGACGCCTAACCTGTACATTGCTCACCTTATTATACCACTTCACATGGGAAATAGAACGCAGGCACCTATGATCAAAGACAGCTAATCTTTTCATGTCCTCCACTCTCAGTGACCAGGTCTCACAGCCATAAAGGAGGACGGAGCGAACTGATGAGCAGCATACCCGCCCTTTGGTCGATAGTCGGATATCACGTCTACGCCAGAGACGGCGTAAACTGGCATATGCGGAACTAGCCCTCTGTATCCGTGCTGAGATTTCGTCGGAGATCAACCCGTTGGGGCTGATGGTACTTCCCAAATAAGTGAAGCGGTCAGCGTGCTCTACCACATCACTTCCTATTTCTAATCTAGGAGTCGGTGTAGTCCAGTCCTGTAACATCATCTTGCATTTGGCGGGAGCGCATCGCATGCTAAACATTCATAGATTGCAGCTCAAGGTGTTTAGAAGACTCTGCATTTTGTCAGCGTCCTCGCCTAGAAGGACTATATCGTCTGCATATTCTAAGTCAACGAGATTATTCCCTGGTGGTAGCAAGTCAATCCCTGAGTGAGTTAGGGTTAAGTCCATTAGTACATCTATGATGAAGTTGAATAGAAATGGGGATAATGGGCGAACTTGACGGACACCACTAGTCGTCACCATTTCAGATGACAACTCGCCGTAAGCCCTCACCTAGCTGCATGAGTACGAGTAGAGTGCCTTAATCAGTGCAATGTATTTTCTCGGTATTCCTCTTACAGCCAAGCATCGCCAGAGAACCTCTCGGTCGACAGAATCGAATGACGCCTTTAGGTCAAGAAATATAATGACTGTTAGACGCCGGTAGGAATGCCTATGTTCTAGAATCTGTCGGAGGGTGAAGATATGATCAATACACCCTCTTCCTGGTCTAAAGCCTGCCTGGGTCTCTCGTGTTTGTGCCTCCCAAGCACCACTTAGTCTACGCATGATTATTGAGCCTAGGACTCCCATGTGGGATTTTCATTGATCGCCGTAAACTTTTCTACCATGAATTTTATCTTTGGGGTTTTCTTCTACACTCGTGTTATGATGGAAATCGGCATTAAGTCGTTTATGTTTTGTATAAAGCCCCGTGTCGTAACTGTGAGTTGTCAATCAGCTATTGGCGTGAGACGAAATAGCTCACTAATTCTCACACCCGACTGAGTTTCAGTAAAGAACTTAGCACAGTAGTTCAGCAGTTTAAGTTACAACACTCCATATAGTACACAAAGGTAACGAAAGGAGATTCAAGAGAATATAATGAACATAAATGCATGAGGGGAAAATTGGTAGCACAGACGGGCATGAGAAATCGTTGGATGGTGGTGATCACAAAGAGTGAATGAATCTGCGCTACTGAGTGCGATCCTGAATGATATCACCAATAGTCTATGGCCATTTGCTTTTAGCATTCTGAAGACTCTAACTAGGTAGTCCACACCTCCCATCTGGCCCTAACCAACTGTCATAGACTTCAAGGACTGATGCTAAGTTTTCGTCTGACCATGCTTCGCTCTTATGCAACCAAGGTCTATGCCAGCTAACATTGCTCACAGTGGCTTTGTCTGTGTAACACGAGTCCTAGATGCGTCGATCGATTCATCTTCATCAATTGACTTACCTTCTTTACGTTAAACTACACCTAACCTCAGTGTTATTGGCCATATCATACCACTTGATATGGAGAACAGAATGCAAACATTTATGGTTGAGGGAAGCTAGCCTTTTGATAGTTACCACTTCCAACCGCTGTCTCAAAGCCATAAATGAGGGCAGAGTGGACCACTGCAGGGTACGCTTGAGTTGGCCAATAGTTGGATGTCACATCTACGCCAGAGATAAGGCAAGTTAGCAAATTTCACACCAGCGTTTCATATCCGTGCTGAGACTTCATCAACTCAGACCGTTTAGGCTTATGACTTTCCAAATAAGTAAATTGGTCAAAACAATGAATTCACTCTCTGTAACTAGAAGTCGATGTAGTTGAGTCCTGTAGCATACATTTACATTTGGTATGAGCCAATTGCATACCAAACACTCAAAGATTTCTGTTCAAGGTGTTTGGAAGACTCGATTTTACCAGCGACTTCAACATGGAGAAGAATATCACCCGTGTACTACTCCACACCGATGGAACTGTCCCGTGACAACTGGTCAATCCCATTAGCGCACTTGTGATAAAATTAAACTAAAGTGGTGACAGTCGACATTCCTGACTCACACCACTGGTTACCATAACTTAAGATGACATTGTGCCTTGGGCTCGTACACAACTTCTAGTATTTGGGTGGAGTGCAGTGAATTAGTGCGATGAACTCCCATCACGGTCAGACATTGTCATAACATCTCCAAGTTGACGGAGTCGAATGTCGCCCCCAGGCCAAGAGATATGGGGGTTGCTGGACACCAGTGAGTATGCACATGTCCCAGGCCTAAAACTTACGTGGTTCTGCCCACTTTGATTCTCCTGAGCACCGCTTATTCTACGCGTGATTGTTGAACCTAGGACTTCCGAGACTACATTAGTCAAGCTAACTCCCCTATGTTAATCACAGGGGAACTTGTCTCATATTATGAAATGCGATAACCAATAATATGCAACAGTTTTACGGCGATATCCTTAATTCGCGGACATTACCTAAGACCCTAGTTAACCCAGACAACAACAGTTTGCCTCCACTTCCCTCAAACACTTCTAGAGTCATTCCATAGGGTATTCCTGCTTTGCCTCGCTGCATATTAGATACAGCCTTTGTAGTCTTATTCAGAGTTGGCGGACTGTTGCCAACATTCAGTATGGGTAAGTGTTAGATGCTGGACAAGTTCATTGTGGCTATAGGCTGTTAAAATCGCTCCTTGAAGAGTTCAGTCCAACGGTTCAATCGTCTATCCTGAGGACGAATTAGGGCGCCGTCTCCCTCGGAGTTTGTCTGGCATTTTGAAACCTATTTCCTCAATAATTTCAAATAGTTGTTTGGTGTTACCTATTACTGACGTCTTTTCTATCTTCCTCGCTTTTAAAACTCACCCCTTGCTCGTGGCCAACTCGGAGAATTTCGATCACCTGACTTTTGCCCCTCAATATGTACAGATCCTGTTGGAATCAGTCTGCTTGTGTCAATCAGTTTGGATAAGGCGATAGGATCCCCCTGGCATTTACTAACTCTTCATTTTTAGCCATCAACAACCTTTACCGTTGTTTCTACAGCTGACGTGATATAATGTCAAGCTTTTTCAGGATGAGCATTGCTGTCAGCCTCACACGCGTTAAGCTGGTTTTTTTCTGGGATAGGGACTTAGTGTCCTCATTGAATTGGGAGAGTTGCAGTTTCAGTGGTGCTTGTTTACCATGTCTGTTCAGTTTCAGGCAAGTATATGTGCCGACTAGGTCGTGACCAGAGTTTACGTGAATGTTAAAGGAGCAGCAGTTTATCTACTGACCCTCTCTTTCAATAGTCTATCGCTATATAGTTTATGGTAGTCCGTTTATCTGATGCAGGAATCTGGAATTAGTGCAAGTTCATTCAAGCACCCCGTCAAATAAGTAAGTAAATGAAGCGGTCGGATACAGTGAGCACTTTCCTGACTGACAGTTTACTGCTTATCTGTGATCCTATTAAATGCATTTTTGACAATAGTGGAAAACTGGGCTACTCACAAAAGCATAAGTTTATCCAGCTTTGCACGTGATGCGCCAGAGATGTTGTTTAGATGGACGACAAAAGCTTCGCAATTAAATCAACCAGCCCAGAGAATGCAGCTTATTCAATTTGACAGTCGCAATAATTGGCATTAATTTGTTCCGTAGCACAGCTCGTGCGATAGATACAAATTACTGGGTGAGGCTATTCGTTAACTAAACTAAGCTGGATATATTGCTATAAGATAATATTGTGAATCAGAAGCTGTCTGAACGTGACATCCCTGAATATTCGTTTCTCGTGTATTAGCTGTGCAAAGGTACCGAGAACGAGTGGTTTCTAACGCAACCGTATGGGGCTCGTGTTAGTTCCCATTGGGACTTTGTGTATTGATATAACAAGTAAGATTTGGGCCTTGTGGTAGACCACAATTCCATCAAAGATCAGATCTTTTTGATAAAAGCACACAGTGATACAGTTTATTTGCTTACTGATGACGTCGTGAGCACAATCTATTGCTCATAATTATATCAAGGCACTCGCATATTCTTCAAGTCTCGCTTTTTACAATTCCACTAAAGCTTACCCTATGCACGTATTGGCGGTGATATTTTCCATGTCCGGTATTGTCAGCGAGTCATTCTTATTGTATGTGTTAGGTGTGAATTCGGTGAACAAAGTCCCGGTGATCAGCCTCTCCCAACAACTACTCATGTCGCTTCTTGTAACTGCAGTTCTCCCACCCTATTGATTGTTACTACGTGCATTGAGATTTCTGAGTTATTCTCCAAACTATTCATCGTTAGGTCAGTCATCCTGCACTTATCTAAATTCTTTTGTTCCGGTGATATGACTACCCCGACCTACTGGTCTGACATGTCAGTCGTTGCAAGCGTTCCAGTAGATTGCGCAACTTTGTCTAATGACATCAGTTGGGTCATACACAGTTTGTCTCACTTATCGATATTCTCGAGATCGCTGTGAAATTGAGTAATTTTTGGCATGTGCTATCTACAAGCAAACATTCGACCATAGGTATGAGAACAACTCACTTTCGGACAAAACACGAGGCATTTTCACAAAACCTTTACTGACCTCTGTCAGCTCGGAATAAAACTTGTGCGCCGTGGTAAAGTTGAATTCCGTCATGTAGAAAATTTTATTTTGATAGTCTCTCAGTGTTATGCACTAGTATTTACTGATGGCGTTCTGAGCAGAATTTATTGCTCATAATCATGAAGGTACACAACTTTCTGACTTCATTTATATACATGAGTGAAGAAATTAACTAGACATACGAATGAGTAAAATAAAAGTCAATATACATGCGTGAAACAGAAAGGAAGATAGAATACATTTGGAAATAATATTGGTTATCAACATAATGTGATACAATGGGAGGTAAGACGAGTGTTGTCAGTCAATAAAGTGTTTTCTCAGTAAAATAAAATAACATGTACGAGTGGGAAGACGTGAATTGAAATGAAAGATTCGAATATGGAGATAAATATACATGACGAGTAGGATTGTTGACAGACGGTCACAGTTGACTACGTTGACCCTCATAATTTTAACATTAGCCTGAGAGGCTCTAATGTCAGTAATCTTACCTCACATCTAAGGAATCTGGCCTGTTTACTGGCAGTAGTGATGCTGTTTTATGAAGTGGTGCATTTTCCACCGGTTTGACGTGAATTGCCATGCAATACCTCACAACATCTGAGAGCATCAACATCGATGATTAAGAGGTACTTTGTGTTCACTTCTCAGGTCAATAAGCTGATGAATGTCAATTCGAGCCTTTCTGTGTCACTAATCACGCTCTTGTCCTAATTCCCTCTAGGGATATATTTCTTTCAAAACCCTCTATAAACGGTTGAACAGCCTGATGATGAATTCGTTGAGAACAGTCTCTTCGCTGAATATTTTGTTCTTAATGCTACAATGTAGTTATCCGATTCTTGAAAAAACACATTGAATGTCCAATCCATTGAACCAAGAGCATTGATGTTTGAATTAAGCTGACTGGACACCTCCATTACAGTCCTTTCGAAAGCTGAAGGTATACGTCGATATCTTTTATCATTGTTTTAGTTCTCGTATGCATACTTAGTTTCTATTGACTGTTTATAATTGTTTTGAAGCGAAATTAAACTGTGACGGTCACCCTTCTGGACATTACCACTATCTCAAAACAACTAAATTAAAGAGCAATGAAAGTCGCGAAATTGACTAGGTGACTACAGGTGACAATGTCGTCGAATCCCTCTATATTCCGAAAAGTGCTCTTTAATCTAGCTAAATATCCCATTCCTCTCAAGACACTGGTTATTCCGTGAAGCTTCCCCCGTGTAAACACAGTTTTTATACCTTTGGGCTCCGAGTAGAAAAAACATCTCCGTTCCGTGCTGTTCCCAGTAGTCTGATTTAGCTGGCTTCGCAATTGCCCATAAGCTCTCGTCACCTAAATATTATCCTCGGAGTCCAAACTCGACATTCCCCATTCATGTCCCACTCGAGGGCCTGGCGTACAAGTCTAAGTGTGTCCGATCCATCACCGTTCCTTCCAGCACATATGTTAGGCAATAAGTCTTTGTTTATTTCGTGACAGGAGTTCCCGGTTGATTGTTCATTCTGACCATCTGACATGTACAGAGCGAAGATCGAAGCTTACAGAAGTCTGCACAGCCTTTCGGAGATGCATTTTGTGACGTGCAAAGCCTCAGGTATATAGCACTGACGAGCCATCGGTGTTTCCACTCTATATCTTGTTCTTTATGCCGACTTCGGTAGATTTCTACGTTGATATCGGTGTAGTGAATGTCTGTCTTGTTTTCCAGTGCTACCTTTAGCAACTTCATTCGTTCTGCCTTCAGTTGAAATGATGCTCCCCATATAAATGGAAGAAGTGATCTTGTCCGAATTTCTTCTGTTTATAGTGGCTGGTGCTTGTTGCTGGTTGGTAGTCATTAATACCCCTGTGTTAACTTGGATTCCTGCCTTCACTGCCTGTACCCCTAGCTGGTTGGTTTTCGGCTGTGGGTCTCGAGTTCGTGTGATGTCAGACAAGTCACCTGCAAAATTCAGGCTTTGCAGAGTCGTATTCTACCAATGCATTCCCATCTCCTCGTACCCTGTGGTGTGACGCATAGGTGAATGTAAGAGGGGAGCTAGTGGTGGTAAAACCAACACTTGGCATCAGCCCATGAAGTCAATGATGGTTATTTTGAACCATGCGGGCAGGTGTGAGTCACCTGGATAGAGTCATTGGGATTCTAAGAACCAAGAGCTGGAGAGAATTGATAGTATGACTGCAAATCAACCTCAGTGGTGTAGATGTATTCACTCTTTGTGATTTCCCACTAAACCCTAATGTTCCTCGCTACTGTTGCTGCAGTCTCCATTTTCTGCTTATTACGGTCGTTTTGAATCCCTTTTCTGCACTTACTCGCTGCACTTCTATTCAAAGTTCTACGTTGAAACCCGGTCAATCCTGTTGTATTCCTGGCTCTCATTTGCTTCACGGTATTCTGGATTTCTGCTTTTACTGAGGGGTTGGTGTTCACTAGCAGTACTGTGACTCTTGGCAGTAATTCTGATAAAGTTGCAGGTGGTAGTTGATCCAAGAGTGTTTCGAATTGATCGAACCATTGTTTCGTCTGCTCCTCCTCCTTGGTAGTTAGGTCCCATTTGCTATCCTATACAGGAGAAGTGCTGTTGAGGCCATGTATTGCACTCAGAACCCATAGGCACAATAATAGTCTTTCACTAACCCCATCTGTGTTGGTCTTTTCCCCGATAACGACCTGGTTATCTGGAACTATTTTCTGGGGTCTGTTCTGCACTGGTTACCAGCGTCGTAGAATTATTTCTCGTCTGTCTCAGCACCCTTCTTGATTCAGAGCTTTTTAGGTTGAATTGAGCTCTTCCTTTCGTTATCCATCTTTGCATTGGTTCATCTGTTTCACTATTCCTTTGTTGCCTGTTAGCTTCCAGGAGTCCGTAAACAGCCACTATTTGTATGGCCCCTCCTCCCTTTCTAAGACAGAGTTGTTGTATTCGTCGAAACAGGCTTTCTGTGTAGTGTTACATAGTGTCTTTGGCTTTTCTCCAATAGCCATAATGAGTGTCCTTTATAGTGTCATCCCTCACTTCCTGAGCGGTGGCAACTCCGGTTCAGACATTGATCAAACGCTCGATCTTCCTGTAAATCATTAGGCGAATACAGGGGAGGAGGCGTGATCTGATTCAGTTATACCAACTGTAATTAACTGGATGTCGGTCATGTTCCACAGTTGGCTGCCATAGTTTAACTTCGCTTCTTTAACTTTTGTTCATGTCAGCAACGTTTGTGTGATGAAATTGACTCTAGTTTGCACTGTTTTTCATTTTAGCATGCTTTCAAATGTTTTTAGGTATCAGGTGTTTCTATCCCAATGGCCGATTACTACACTCAGGATTATGGAGCACCAGTGGAATATAATAATTCAGAAGCTGGTTACGGGTCCACCACTCAACCTGCTGCAACGGGCAATGGAGAATACAATCAGTTTTCCTATGACCACATGAAAGATGAGGATGATTATCAAACAGGTGCTATGCGCAGCGATAGGAGACCACCAACTCCTCAGTCCAAATACGATTCTGGTAGCGATGACCGCAGTCGAGTGAAAAAACGTGACCGTAAAAGGTCGCGCAGCCGCAGCCGTGATCGCCGGCGTCACAGTCGTGACCGTGATCGACACCGTGACCGTAGCAGAGAACGTAAGTCCAGGCGGCATCATTCTCGTCATCGGTCTCCGTCAAGTCCAGCATTGGTCTACAAGTATTGGGACGTCCCACCACCTGGATTTGAGCATGTGACACCTGCTCAGTACAAAGCTCTACAGGCATCGGGTCAGATACCAGTAAATGTTTATGCCGCGGGACAAGTACCGATGCCGGTTCACGCACCGAATGCTCCACTAACACTCACAACGAACGTGCCGTTTGCTGGAAGTGCTGTATGCAGACAAGCGCGTCGTTTGTACGTTGGTAATATACCGTTTACTGCGACGGAAGAGAATATGATGGAGTTCTTCAATAAACAGATGAGGGCTCAAGGTCTCATTCAGGCAGAGGGGAATCCGATAATTGCCGTGCAGATCAACATGGAGAAGAACTTCGCCTTCCTTGAGTTCCGTTCTGTCGACGAGACAACTCAAGGATTGGCACTCGATGGTGTATTGTTTCAAAATCAAGCACTGAAACTCCGTCGACCCCGTGACTATGCTCCCCTTCCCGGTGTATCAGAGCAACCTTCTGTCATTGTTCCTGGAGTGGTCAGTACTGTCGTCCAGGATTCCCCACACAAAATATTTGTCGGTGGTCTTCCTAACTATCTGAATGAGGACCAGGTGAAAGAGCTGCTGTTGAGCTTCGGCCCTTTAAAGGGGTTCAACCTTGTCAAAGATGGCTCGACCGGTTTGTCGAAAGGTTATGCCTTCTGTGAGTACGTGGATGCTAATGTTACAGACCACGCGTGTGCCGGTCTTAATGGCATGCAGTTGGGTGACAAGAAGCTAATAGTGCAGAGAGCGAGTGTTGGTGCCAAACACACAACCAATGCCCTACCTCAGAGTTTGCTACAACTGCCTGGTCTGGAAGACGGCTCAGTTCAGAACACAACTGGTTCGGGTAATATCACCATCCGTAGTAGTGGACCACCGACGGAGGTGTTGTGTCTAATGAACATGATCGAAACGTCAGAACTGGAGGATGACGATGAGTATGAAGATATAGTAGAAGATGTGCGCGCAGAATGCAGTAAATATGGCGTTGTTCGGAGTCTGGAGATACCCCGTCCAATTCCTGGAGTTGAGGTTCCTGGGGTCGGGAAAATATATGTTGAGTTTGCCAGTTTGATTGACTGCCAGAAAGCCGCGACCGCGTTGACTGGTCGAAAGTTCAACCAGCGTTTGGTTGTCACTTCCTTCTTCAACCCTGATAACTATCACCGAAGGGAATTTTAACCATATTTGACTATGGCTGTCTTTAGTTGTATATATGACACATTTTAAACTTAATGAATTGACCTAAATAATATCTTACAGCGATTTAGTTTCGTCTTCTACTGTGTTTTGTGTGTGACGAGAGTTGGGGCAGTCCAACGAAGGGATTGCTGTCGGTCTCCGTGCGTATGTTTGAGTTTTGTGTTCGTCGTTTGTGGAAGTGCTGTGAATTCGTAAGTTTCGTGTAGGCTTCGTAGGTGAACGGTTTAATCCTCCTGTAATATGTTAGATTATTCTGGAGGTTAGTGTTTTGTGCCGAGAGGTTTACATTTCTTCCTAATTTATATTTGTTCTAAGATGCTTTGTATTTCACGAATGCATATATATCAATTACGTATACTGAGCCTAATATTTCAGTGAATTATTCCTGATAGATAAATACTAGGTTTTTGTATCACATTTCAACGTCTCATGTTGATTGTGGGAACCGCTTTGCGTTATGTCACTTAGGATTGGTACTTGTCTATCGGATTAACTTTGGCTAGAAGACCTCGCTACGTAAGTGTAGCCAAATTGGAGGACTGTATACTGAGGTATGCATAGTTTTTGGCTGTGTGTACTAAATCTTCGTGTCATGTAGTATTGGTTTGTCAGCAGACACTAACTACGGAGTTCCTAAACTCAAGACATGCCTTGAGTTTCTTCATATGCTACTGGTAGACTTCAGTATGAAGTTAACTACTAACTTGACATTTAACTACGATTATAATCACAAACATTTTAGTTTTAATTGAACTTCATATGATTATATTATTATTTTCTGAATCACTTGTTTTGATTTTCTAACTTAGGATTATCTATAGTGCCGTATTTGATATTATATAGAAGTCCAGGTTTCGAAGGACCTAGCTGAGGCAGTGGCCTTGATTGTGAGATACACACCTGAGACATGCTAAGTGCTCTTCCGTTGACCTGTCCCTGAGTTGTAGCACGGACTGTATCAGGCCATGTGCCGCATTTACGGACTGGCTACATTGGCCAAAAGGTAATGGGGAGGCATCCAATGTTATTTAAGGTGGTAGCCGTAATAATGCAGCGGTGCTCTCTGAGATATCGTCACCTGAAATGGCATTCGCTGAATACTGACAGGTAGACTGTCTGTCTGTTTTCGACATAGAACTTTGCACAAATGTGCGGAAGTTCAAGTCGCCACATTCCGTGTAGCACGCGAAGCAAGAGGAGAAAGTACAAGAAAAGCATAATAGAAACAGTGAGCAGAGGTGTGAGACAAAGGAGTAATAAAGGAATACAAAACAATTTCATTGAAGATCATAAGTCACAGGGAGTGGATGCATCTGCGCCACTGAGAACGATCTTGAGCCATGTCACCAACTGTTTCCAACCATAGATTTTTGCCGTCCCGAGGACCCCAGCCTGGAAGTCTACACCTTCCTACGTGGCTAAGACCAACTGTTGTGGATTTCATTGACTGATGCCATGTTTTTGTTTGACCGCCGCTAGCTTTTTTCCAGCCTGACCCTATATCCGCTAACATAGCTCGTCGAGGGAGGCGATGACTTGGCATACGTAACACATGTCCTAACCATCTCAGTCGATGTAGATTCACGACTTCGTCGATTGATTTCCCCTGTTTACCTAGAACTCGACGCCTAACCTCCATGTTGCTCACCTTATTATGCCACTTTACACGGGAAATAGAACGCAGGCACCTATGATCAAAGGCAGCTAGTCTTTTCATGTCTTCCACTCTCAGTGGCCAGGTCTCACAACCATAAAGGAGGACGGAGCGGACTGATGAGCAGTACACCCGCCCTTTGGTCGAAAGTCGAACATCTCGTCTACGCCAGAGTCGGCGTAAACTAACAAATGCGAAACGAGCCCCTTGTATTCGTGCTGAGATTTCGTCAGAGATCAGCCCGTTGTCGTTGGCTGATGGTACTTCCCAAATAAGTGAAGCGGTCAGCGTGCTCTACCACATCACTTCCTATTTCTAATCTAGGAGTCGGTGTAGTCCAGTCCTGTAACATCATCTTGCATTTGGCGGGAGCGCATCGCATGCTAAACATTCATAGATTGCAGCTCAAGGTGTTTAGAAGACTCTGCATTTTGTCAGCGTCCTCGCCTAGAAGGACTATATCGTCTGCATATTCTAAGTCAACGAGATTATTCCCTGGTGGTAGCAAGTCAATCCCTGAGTGAGTTAGGGTTAAGTCCATTAGTACATCTATGATGAAGTTGAATAGAAATGGGGATAATGGGCGAACTTGACGGACACCACTAGTCGTCACCATTTCAGATGACAACTCGCCGTAAGCCCTCACCTAGCTGCATGAGTACGAGTAGAGTGCCTTAATCAGTGCAATATATTTTCTTGGAATTCCCTTTACAGCCAAGCATCTCCAGAGAACTTCCCGATCGACAGAGTCGAATGCTGCCTTTAGGTCAAGAAATATAATGACTGTTAGACGCCGGTAGGAATGCCTATGTTCTAGAATCTGTCGGAGGGTGAAGATATGATCAATACACCCTCTTCCTGGTCTAAAGCCTGCCTGGGTCTCTCGTGTTTGTGCTTCCCGAGCACCACTCAGTCTACGCATGGACAGGTAGACTATGGCAGTTTCATCTTAAGGAACATATATTAAGGCGTCTTGGTGAGTTGCACTTGAATCTTTTGGTAATTAAGTTGGTACCGAAATAGGCCATAGAGCCAGTTTTGGGAAATGTGCTTTTTTAGGACGATTGCAACCATTCCATACCTAAAGTATGTTTCACGATGTCACTTGTGTAGCATTCGCCAAATTGCTAAATCTTTGGCGTAGGTGTGACATTAGGTTATCGACCAAATGCTTGCATATCATTTGATAGTTACTTTCGCCCACAATGTCCTGAAGCATTGTCATCGAAAGCGACAGATGTCAAAAGTACAAATGTTTTTGAACACTGGTGTCTGAGCTGTCTCCCGTGTCAAGTGGTAGATAATATTTTGGTTTTTACTAGAAAAGAAAGTGAGCTGATATAGATTCATATAGATAGGATACGTGAAATGAATGCTGAACCGTTATCTTTCTTATTGGGCAAGCTCATCTGATATGGAATTAGAATGAAAAAGGTTTGGCACTGGCTAGATAACGCATCTCACCAATTCAAGAAGTTTGACAGTTGGTATGAGCCAACTAGGGAAGGTGTAGTCTAATTGGAATACGGGGTCACATGGTTCACAATTGTTTTGAAATGACGAAGATGCAATCACTTTAGTAGACTCTCATATGTCTGTCTGTCCGTTTTCGGCATAGAACTTTGCACTTATGTGTGGCAGTTCACGTCGCCACACTCCATGTAGCAGATAAGGCAAGAGGAGAAAGAAGAAGAAATGCATAATAGGGACAGTAAACAGTTTTGAGACAAAGAAATAGTAGTAACGAAGATCGAAACAGTTTCATTGGAAATCATAAGTCACAAGGAGTGGATGCATCTGCGCCATTGAGAACGATTTCGAGCCATGTCACCAATTGTTTCCGACCATTGGTTTTTACCGTCCCGAGGACCCCAACCAGGAAGTCTACGCCTTCCTACGTGGCTTAGACTAACTGTTGTAGATTTCATTGACTGGTGCCATGTTTTTGTTTGACCTCCACTAGCTCTTTTCCAGCCTGACCCTATATCAGCTAACATTACCCGTCGAGGGAGGCGATGACTAGGCATACTTAACACACGTCCTAACCATCTCAGTCGATGTAACTTCACAACCTCGTCGATTGATTTCCCCTGTTTACCTAGAACTCGACGCCTAACCTGTACATTGCTCACCTTATTATACCACTTCACATGGGAAATAGAACGCAGGCACCTATGATCAAAGACAGCTAATCTTTTCATGTCCTCCACTCTCAGTGACCAGGTCTCACAGCCATAAAGGAGGACGGAGCGAACTGATGAGCAGCATACCCGCCCTTTGGTCGATAGTCGGATATCACGTCTACGCCAGAGACGGCGTAAACTGGCATATGCGGAACTAGCCCTCTGTATCCGTGCTGAGATTTCGTCGGAGATCAACCCGTTGGGGCTGATGGTACTTCCCAAATAAGTGAAGCGGTCAGCGTGCTCTACCACATCACTTCCTATTTCTAATCTAGGAGTCGGTGTAGTCCAGTCCTGTAACATCATCTTGCATTTGGCGGGAGCGCATCGCATGCTAAACATTCATAGATTGCAGCTCAAGGTGTTTAGAAGACTCTGCATTTTGTCAGCGTCCTCGCCTAGAAGGACTATATCGTCTGCATATTCTAAGTCAACGAGATTATTCCCTGGTGGTAGCAAGTCAATCCCTGAGTGAGTTAGGGTTAAGTCCATTAGTACATCTATGATGAAGTTGAATAGAAATGGGGATAATGGGCGAACTTGACGGACACCACTAGTCGTCACCATTTCAGATGACAACTCGCCGTAAGCCCTCACCTAGCTGCATGAGTACGAGTAGAGTGCCTTAATCAGTGCAATGTATTTTCTCGGTATTCCTCTTACAGCCAAGCATCGCCAGAGAACCTCTCGGTCGACAGAATCGAATGACGCCTTTAGGTCAAGAAATATAATGATTGTTGGAGGCTGGTAGGAATGCCTATGTTCTGGAATCTGTCGGAGGGTGAAGATATGATCAATACACCCTCTTCCTGGTCTAAAGCCTGCCTGGGTCTCTCGTGTTTGTGCCTCCCAAGCACCACTTAGTCTACGCATGATTATTGAGCCTAGGACTCCCATGTGGGATTTTCATTGATCGCCGTAAACTTTTCTACCATGAATTTTATCTTTGGGGTTTTCTTCTACACTCGTGTTATGATGGAAATCGGCATTAAGTCGTTTATGTTTTGTATAAAGCCCCGTGTCGTAACTGTGAGTTGTCAATCAGCTATTGGCGTGAGACGAAATAGCTCACTAATTCTCACACCCGACTGAGTTTCAGTAAAGAACTTAGCACAGTAGTTCAGCAGTTTAAGTTACAACACTCCATATAGTACACAAAGGTAACGAAAGGAGATTCAAGAGAATATAATGAACATAAATGCATGAGGGGAAAATTGGTAGCACAGACGGGCATGAGAAATCGTTGGATGGTGGTGATCACAAAGAGTGAATGCATCTGCGTTACTGAGTGCGATCCTGAATGATATCACCAATAGTCTATGGCCATTTGCTTTTAGCATTCTGAAGACTCTAACTAGGTAGTCCACACCTCCCCATCTGGCCCTAACCAACTGTCATAGACTTCAAGGACTGATGCTAAGTTTTCGTCTGACCATGCTTCGCTCTTATGCAACCAAGGTCTATGCCAGCTAACATTGCTCACAGTGGCTTTGTCTGTGTAACACGAGTCCTAGATGCGTCGATCGATTCATCTTCATCAATTGACTTACCTTCTTTACGTTAAACTACACCTAACCTCAGTGTTATTGGCCATATCATACCACTTGATATGGAGAACAGAATGCAAACATTTATGGTTGAGGGAAGCTAGCCTTTTGATAGTTACCACTTCCAACCGCTGTCTCAAAGCCATAAATGAGGGCAGAGTGGACCACTGCAGGGTACGCTTGAGTTTGGCCAATAGTTGGATGTCACATCTACGCCAGAGATAAGGCAAGTTAGCAAATTTCACACCAGCGTTTCATATCCGTGCTGAGACTTCATCAACTCAGACCGTTTAGGCTTATGACTTTCCAAATAAGTAAATTGGTCAAAACAATGAATTCACTCTCTGTAACTAGAAGTCGATGTAGTTGAGTCCTGTAGCATACATTTACATTTGGTATGAGCCAATTGCATACCAAACACTCAAAGATTTCTGTTCAAGGTGTTTGGAAGACTCGATTTTACCAGCGACTTCAACATGGAGAAGAATATCACCCGTGTACTACTCCACACCGATGGAACTGTCCCGTGACAACTGGTCAATCCCATTAGCGCACTTGTGATAAAATTAAACTAAAGTGGTGACAGTCGACATTCCTGACTCACACCACTGGTTACCATAACTTAAGATGACATTGTGCCTTGGGCTCGTACACAACTTCTAGTATTTGGGTGGAGTGCAGTGAATTAGTGCGATGAACTCCCATCACGGTCAGACATTGTCATAACATCTCCAAGTTGACGGAGTCGAATGTCGCCCCCAGGCCAAGAGATATGGGGGTTGCTGGACACCAGTGAGTATGCACATGTCCCAGGCCTAAAACTTACGTGGTTCTGCCCACTTTGATTCTCCTGAGCACCGCTTATTCTACGCGTGATTGTTGAACCTAGGACTTCCGAGACTACATTAGTCAAGCTAACTCCCCTATGTTAATCACAGGGGAACTTGTCTCATATTATGAAATGCGATAACCAATAATATGCAACAGTTTTACGGCGATATCCTTAATTCGCGGACATTACCTAAGACCCTAGTTAACCCAGACAACAACAGTTTGCCTCCACTTCCCTCAAACACTTCTAGAGTCATTCCATAGGGTATTCCTGCTTTGCCTCGCTGCATATTAGATACAGCCTTTGTAGTCTTATTCAGAGTTGGCGGACTGTTGCCAACATTCAGTATGGGTAAGTGTTAGATGCTGGACAAGTTCATTGTGGCTATAGGCTGTTAAAATCGCTCCTTGAAGAGTTCAGTCCAACGGTTCAATCGTCTATCCTGAGGACGAATTAGGGCGCCGTCTCCCTCGGAGTTTGTCTGGCATTTTGAAACCTATTTCCTCAATAATTTCAAATAGTTGTTTGGTGTTACCTATTACTGACGTCTTTTCTATCTTCCTCGCTTTTAAAACTCACCCCTTGCTCGTGGCCAACTCGGAGAATTTCGATCACCTGACTTTTGCCCCTCAATATGTACAGATCCTGTTGGAATCAGTCTGCTTGTGTCAATCAGTTTGGATAAGGCGATAGGATCCCCCTGGCATTTACTAACTCTTCATTTTTAGCCATCAACAACCTTTACCGTTGTTTCTACAGCTGACGTGATATAATGTCAAGCTTTTTCAGGATGAGCATTGCTGTCAGCCTCACACGCGTTAAGCTGGTTTTTTTCTGGGATAGGGACTTAGTGTCCTCATTGAATTGGGAGAGTTGCAGTTTCAGTGGTGCTTGTTTACCATGTCTGTTCAGTTTCAGGCAAGTATATGTGCCGACTAGGTCGTGACCAGAGTTTACGTGAATGTTAAAGGAGCAGCAGTTTATCTACTGACCCTCTCTTTCAATAGTCTATCGCTATATAGTTTATGGTAGTCCGTTTATCTGATGCAGGAATCTGGAATTAGTGCAAGTTCATTCAAGCACCCCGTCAAATAAGTAAGTAAATGAAGCGGTCGGATACAGTGAGCACTTTCCTGACTGACAGTTTACTGCTTATCTGTGATCCTATTAAATGCATTTTTGACAATAGTGGAAAACTGGGCTACTCACAAAAGCATAAGTTTATCCAGCTTTGCACGTGATGCGCCAGAGATGTTGTTTAGATGGACGACAAAAGCTTCGCAATTAAATCAACCAGCCCAGAGAATGCAGCTTATTCAATTTGACAGTCGCAATAATTGGCATTAATTTGTTCCGTAGCACAGCTCGTGCGATAGATACAAATTACTGGGTGAGGCTATTCGTTAACTAAACTAAGCTGGATATATTGCTATAAGATAATATTGTGAATCAGAAGCTGTCTGAACGTGACATCCCTGAATATTCGTTTCTCGTGTATTAGCTGTGCAAAGGTACCGAGAACGAGTGGTTTCTAACGCAACCGTATGGGGCTCGTGTTAGTTCCCATTGGGACTTTGTGTATTGATATAACAAGTAAGATTTGGGCCTTGTGGTAGACCACAATTCCATCAAAGATCAGATCTTTTTGATAAAAGCACACAGTGATACAGTTTATTTGCTTACTGATGACGTCGTGAGCACAATCTATTGCTCATAATTATATCAAGGCACTCGCATATTCTTCAAGTCTCGCTTTTTACAATTCCACTAAAGCTTACCCTATGCACGTATTGGCGGTGATATTTTCCATGTCCGGTATTGTCAGCGAGTCATTCTTATTGTATGTGTTAGGTGTGAATTCGGTGAACAAAGTCCCGGTGATCAGCCTCTCCCAACAACTACTCATGTCGCTTCTTGTAACTGCAGTTCTCCCACCCTATTGATTGTTACTACGTGCATTGAGATTTCTGAGTTATTCTCCAAACTATTCATCGTTAGGTCAGTCATCCTGCACTTATCTAAATTCTTTTGTTCCGGTGATATGACTACCCCGACCTACTGGTCTGACATGTCAGTCGTTGCAAGCGTTCCAGTAGATTGCGCAACTTTGTCTAATGACATCAGTTGGGTCATACACAGTTTGTCTCACTTATCGATATTCTCGAGATCGCTGTGAAATTGAGTAATTTTTGGCATGTGCTATCTACAAGCAAACATTCGACCATAGGTATGAGAACAACTCACTTTCGGACAAAACACGAGGCATTTTCACAAAACCTTTACTGACCTCTGTCAGCTCGGAATAAAACTTGTGCGCCGTGGTAAAGTTGAATTCCGTCATGTAGAAAATTTTATTTTGATAGTCTCTCAGTGTTATGCACTAGTATTTACTGATGGCGTTCTGAGCAGAATTTATTGCTCATAATCATGAAGGTACACAACTTTCTGACTTCATTTATATACATGAGTGAAGAAATTAACTAGACATACGAATGAGTAAAATAAAAGTCAATATACATGCGTGAAACAGAAAGGAAGATAGAATACATTTGGAAATAATATTGGTTATCAACATAATGTGATACAATGGGAGGTAAGACGAGTGTTGTCAGTCAATAAAGTGTTTTCTCAGTAAAATAAAATAACATGTACGAGTGTGAAGACGTGAATTGAAATGAAAGATTCGAATATGGAGATAAATATACATGACGAGTAGGATTGTTGACAGACGGTCACAGTTGACTACGTTGACCCTCATAATTTTAACATTAGCCTGAGAGGCTCTAATGTCAGTAATCTTACCTCACATCTAAGGAATCTGGCCTGTTTACTGGCAGTAGTGATGCTGTTTTATGAAGTGGTGCATTTTCCACCGGTTTGACGTGAATTGCCATGCAATACCTCACAACATCTGAGAGCATCAACATCGATGATTAAGAGGTACTTTGTGTTCACTTCTCAGGTCAATAAGCTGATGAATGTCAATTCGAGCCTTTCTGTGTCACTAATCACGCTCTTGTCCTAATTCCCTCTAGGGATATATTTCTTTCAAAACCCTCTATAAACGGTTGAACAGCCTGATGATGAATTCGTTGAGAACAGTCTCTTCGCTGAATATTTTGTTCTTAATGCTACAATGTAGTTATCCGATTCTTGAAAAAACACATTGAATGTCCAATCCATTGAACCAAGAGCATTGATGTTTGAATTAAGCTGACTGGACACCTCCATTACAGTCCTTTCGAAAGCTGAAGGTATACGTCGATATCTTTTATCATTGTTTTAGTTCTCGTATGCATACTTAGTTTCTATTGACTGTTTATAATTGTTTTGAAGCGAAATTAAACTGTGACGGTCACCCTTCTGGACATTACCACTATCTCAAAACAACTAAATTAAAGAGCAATGAAAGTCGCGAAATTGACTAGGTGACTACAGGTGACAATGTCGTCGAATCCCTCTATATTCCGAAAAGTGCTCTTTAATCTAGCTAAATATCCCATTCCTCTCAAGACACTGGTTATTCCGTGAAGCTTCCCCCGTGTAAACACAGTTTTTATACCTTTGGGCTCCGAGTAGAAAAAACATCTCCGTTCCGTGCTGTTCCCAGTAGTCTGATTTAGCTGGCTTCGCAATTGCCCATAAGCTCTCGTCACCTAAATATTATCCTCGGAGTCCAAACTCGACATTCCCCATTCATGTCCCACTCGAGGGCCTGGCGTACAAGTCTAAGTGTGTCCGATCCATCACCGTTCCTTCCAGCACATATGTTAGGCAATAAGTCTTTGTTTATTTCGTGACAGGAGTTCCCGGTTGATTGTTCATTCTGACCATCTGACATGTACAGAGCGAAGATCGAAGCTTACAGAAGTCTGCACAGCCTTTCGGAGATGCATTTTGTGACGTGCAAAGCCTCAGGTATATAGCACTGACGAGCCATCGGTGTTTCCACTCTATATCTTGTTCTTTATGCCGACTTCGGTAGATTTCTACGTTGATATCGGTGTAGTGAATGTCTGTCTTGTTTTCCAGTGCTACCTTTAGCAACTTCATTCGTTCTGCCTTCAGTTGAAATGATGCTCCCCATATAAATGGAAGAAGTGATCTTGTCCGAATTTCTTCTGTTTATAGTGGCTGGTGCTTGTTGCTGGTTGGTAGTCATTAATACCCCTGTGTTAACTTGGATTCCTGCCTTCACTGCCTGTACCCCTAGCTGGTTGGTTTTCGGCTGTGGGTCTCGAGTTCGTGTGATGTCAGACAAGTCACCTGCAAAATTCAGGCTTTGCAGAGTCGTATTCTACCAATGCATTCCCATCTCCTCGTACCCTGTGGTGTGACGCATAGGTGAATGTAAGAGGGGAGCTAGTGGTGGTAAAACCAACACTTGGCATCAGCCCATGAAGTCAATGATGGTTATTTTGAACCATGCGGGCAGGTGTGAGTCACCTGGATAGAGTCATTGGGATTCTAAGAACCAAGAGCTGGAGAGAATTGATAGTATGACTGCAAATCAACCTCAGTGGTGTAGATGTATTCACTCTTTGTGATTTCCCACTAAACCCTAATGTTCCTCGCTACTGTTGCTGCAGTCTCCATTTTCTGCTTATTACGGTCGTTTTGAATCCCTTTTCTGCACTTACTCGCTGCACTTCTATTCAAAGTTCTACGTTGAAACCCGGTCAATCCTGTTGTATTCCTGGCTCTCATTTGCTTCACGGTATTCTGGATTTCTGCTTTTACTGAGGGGTTGGTGTTCACTAGCAGTACTGTGACTCTTGGCAGTAATTCTGATAAAGTTGCAGGTGGTAGTTGATCCAAGAGTGTTTCGAATTGATCGAACCATTGTTTCGTCTGCTCCTCCTCCTTGGTAGTTAGGTCCCATTTGCTATCCTATACAGGAGAAGTGCTGTTGAGGCCATGTATTGCACTCAGAACCCATAGGCACAATAATAGTCTTTCACTAACCCCATCTGTGTTGGTCTTTTCCCCGATAACGACCTGGTTATCTGGAACTATTTTCTGGGGTCTGTTCTGCACTGGTTACCAGCGTCGTAGAATTATTTCTCGTCTGTCTCAGCACCCTTCTTGATTCAGAGCTTTTTAGGTTGAATTGAGCTCTTCCTTTCGTTATCCATCTTTGCATTGGTTCATCTGTTTCACTATTCCTTTGTTGCCTGTTAGCTTCCAGGAGTCCGTAAACAGCCACTATTTGTATGGCCCCTCCTCCCTTTCTAAGACAGAGTTGTTGTATTCGTCGAAACAGGCTTTCTGTGTAGTGTTACATAGTGTCTTTGGCTTTTCTCCAATAGCCATAATGAGTGTCCTTTATAGTGTCATCCCTCACTTCCTGAGCGGTGGCAACTCCGGTTCAGACATTGATCAAACGCTCGATCTTCCTGTAAATCATTAGGCGAATACAGGGGAGGAGGCGTGATCTGATTCAGTTATACCAACTGTAATTAACTGGATGTCGGTCATGTTCCACAGTTGGCTGCCATAGTTTAACTTCGCTTCTTTAACTTTTGTTCATGTCAGCAACGTTTGTGTGATGAAATTGACTCTAGTTTGCACTGTTTTTCATTTTAGCATGCTTTCAAATGTTTTTAGGTATCAGGTGTTTCTATCCCAATGGCCGATTACTACACTCAGGATTATGGAGCACCAGTGGAATATAATAATTCAGAAGCTGGTTACGGGTCCACCACTCAACCTGCTGCAACGGGCAATGGAGAATACAATCAGTTTTCCTATGACCACATGAAAGATGAGGATGATTATCAAACAGGTGCTATGCGCAGCGATAGGAGACCACCAACTCCTCAGTCCAAATACGATTCTGGTAGCGATGACCGCAGTCGAGTGAAAAAACGTGACCGTAAAAGGTCGCGCAGCCGCAGCCGTGATCGCCGGCGTCACAGTCGTGACCGTGATCGACACCGTGACCGTAGCAGAGAACGTAAGTCCAGGCGGCATCATTCTCGTCATCGGTCTCCGTCAAGTCCAGCATTGGTCTACAAGTATTGGGACGTCCCACCACCTGGATTTGAGCATGTGACACCTGCTCAGTACAAAGCTCTACAGGCATCGGGTCAGATACCAGTAAATGTTTATGCCGCGGGACAAGTACCGATGCCGGTTCACGCACCGAATGCTCCACTAACACTCACAACGAACGTGCCGTTTGCTGGAAGTGCTGTATGCAGACAAGCGCGTCGTTTGTACGTTGGTAATATACCGTTTACTGCGACGGAAGAGAATATGATGGAGTTCTTCAATAAACAGATGAGGGCTCAAGGTCTCATTCAGGCAGAGGGGAATCCGATAATTGCCGTGCAGATCAACATGGAGAAGAACTTCGCCTTCCTTGAGTTCCGTTCTGTCGACGAGACAACTCAAGGATTGGCACTCGATGGTGTATTGTTTCAAAATCAAGCACTGAAACTCCGTCGACCCCGTGACTATGCTCCCCTTCCCGGTGTATCAGAGCAACCTTCTGTCATTGTTCCTGGAGTGGTCAGTACTGTCGTCCAGGATTCCCCACACAAAATATTTGTCGGTGGTCTTCCTAACTATCTGAATGAGGACCAGGTGAAAGAGCTGCTGTTGAGCTTCGGCCCTTTAAAGGGGTTCAACCTTGTCAAAGATGGCTCGACCGGTTTGTCGAAAGGTTATGCCTTCTGTGAGTACGTGGATGCTAATGTTACAGACCACGCGTGTGCCGGTCTTAATGGCATGCAGTTGGGTGACAAGAAGCTAATAGTGCAGAGAGCGAGTGTTGGTGCCAAACACACAACCAATGCCCTACCTCAGAGTTTGCTACAACTGCCTGGTCTGGAAGACGGCTCAGTTCAGAACACAACTGGTTCGGGTAATATCACCATCCGTAGTAGTGGACCACCGACGGAGGTGTTGTGTCTAATGAACATGATCGAAACGTCAGAACTGGAGGATGACGATGAGTATGAAGATATAGTAGAAGATGTGCGCGCAGAATGCAGTAAATATGGCGTTGTTCGGAGTCTGGAGATACCCCGTCCAATTCCTGGAGTTGAGGTTCCTGGGGTCGGGAAAATATATGTTGAGTTTGCCAGTTTGATTGACTGCCAGAAAGCCGCGACCGCGTTGACTGGTCGAAAGTTCAACCAGCGTTTGGTTGTCACTTCCTTCTTCAACCCTGATAACTATCACCGAAGGGAATTTTAACCATATTTGACTATGGCTGTCTTTAGTTGTATATATGACACATTTTAAACTTAATGAATTGACCTAAATAATATCTTACAGCGATTTAGTTTCGTCTTCTACTGTGTTTTGTGTGTGACGAGAGTTGGGGCAGTCCAACGAAGGGATTGCTGTCGGTCTCCGTGCGTATGTTTGAGTTTTGTGTTCGTCGTTTGTGGAAGTGCTGTGAATTCGTAAGTTTCGTGTAGGCTTCGTAGGTGAACGGTTTAATCCTCCTGTAATATGTTAGATTATTCTGGAGGTTAGTGTTTTGTGCCGAGAGGTTTACATTTCTTCCTAATTTATATTTGTTCTAAGATGCTTTGTATTTCACGAATGCATATATATCAATTACGTATACTGAGCCTAATATTTCAGTGAATTATTCCTGATAGATAAATACTAGGTTTTTGTATCACATTTCAACGTCTCATGTTGATTGTGGGAACCGCTTTGCGTTATGTCACTTAGGATTGGTACTTGTCTATCGGATTAACTTTGGCTAGAAGACCTCGCTACGTAAGTGTAGCCAAATTGGAGGACTGTATACTGAGGTATGCATAGTTTTTGGCTGTGTGTACTAAATCTTCGTGTCATGTAGTATTGGTTTGTCAGCAGACACTAACTACGGAGTTCCTAAACTCAAGACATGCCTTGAGTTTCTTCATATGCTACTGGTAGACTTCAGTATGAAGTTAACTACTAACTTAGGATTATCTATAGTGCCGTATTTGATATTATATAGAAGTCCAGGTTTCGAAGGACCTAGCTGAGGCAGTGGCCTAGATTGTGAGATACACACCTGAGACATGCTAAGTGCTCTTCCGTTGACCTGTCCCTGAGTTGTAGCACGGACTGTATCAGGCCATGTGCCGCATTTACGGACTGGCTACATTGGCCAAAAGGTAATGGGGAGGCATCCAATGTTATTTAAGGTGGTAGCCGTAATAATGCAGCGGTGCTCTCTGAGATATCGTCACCTGAAATGGCATTCGCTGAATACTGACAGGTAGACTGTCTGTCTGTTTTCGACATAGAACTTTGCACAAATGTGCGGAAGTTCAAGTCGCCACATTCCGTGTAGCACGCGAAGCAAGAGAAGAAAGTACAAGAAAAGCATAATAGAAACAGTGAGCAGAGGTGTGAGACAAAGGAGTAATAAAGAAATACAAAACAATTTCATTGAAGATCATAAGTCACAGGGAGTGGATGCATCTGCGCCACTGAGAACGATCTTGAGCCATGTCACCAACTGTTTCCAACCATAGATTTTTGCCGTCCCGAGGACCCCAGCCTGGAAGTCTACACCTTCCTACGTGGCTAAGACCAACTGTTGTGGATTTCATTGACTGATGCCAAGTTTTTGTTTGACCGCCGCTAGCTTTTTTCCAGCCTGACCCTATATCCGCTAACATAGCTCGTCGAGGGAGGCGATGACTTGGCATACGTAACACATGTCCTAACCATCTCAGTCGATGTAGATTCACGACTTCGTCGATTGATTTCCCCTGTTTACCTAGAACTCGACGCCTAACCTCCATGTTGCTCACCTTATTATGCCACTTTACACGGGAAATAGAACGCAGGCACCTATGATCAAAGGCAGCTAGTCTTTTCATGTCTTCCACTCTCAGTGGCCAGGTCTCACAACCATAAAGGAGGACGGAGCGGACTGATGAGCAGTACACCCGCCCTTTGGTCGATAGTCGAACATCTCGTCTACGCCAGAGTCGGCGTAAACTAACAAATGCGAAACGAGCCCCTTGTATTCGTGCTGAGATTTCGTCAGAGATCAGCCCGTTGTCGTTGGCTGATGGTACTTCCCAAATAAGTGAAGCGGTCAACGTGCTCTACCACATCACTTCCTATTTTTAAACTAGGCGTCGATGTAGTCCAGTCCTGTAACATCGGGACATGTGTTACGTATGCCAAGTCATCGCCTCCCTCGACGAGCTATGTTAGTGGATATAGGGTCAGGCTGGAAAAAAGCTAGCGGCGGTCAAACAAAAACTTGGCATCAGTCAATGAAATCCACAACAGTTGGTCTTAGCCACGTAGGAAGGTGTAGACTTCCAGGCTGGGGTCCTCGGGACGGCAAAAATCTATGGTTGGAAACAGTTGGTGACATGGCTCAAGATCGTTCTCAGTGGCGCAGATGCATCCACTCCCTGTGACTTATGATCTTCAATGAAATTGTTTTGTATTTCTTTATTACTCCTTTGTCTCACACCTCTGCTCACTGTTTCTATTATGCTTTTCTTGTACTTTCTTCTCTTGCTTCGCGTGCTACACACAATGTGGCGACTTGAACTTCCGCACATTTGTGCAAAGTTCTATGTCGAAAACAGACAGACAGACCTGTAACATCATCTTGCATTTGGCGGGAGCGAATCGCATGCCAAACATTCGTAGATTGCGGCTCAAGGTGTTTAGAAGACTCTGCATTTTGTCAGCGTCTTCGCCTAGAAGGACTATATCGTCTGCATATTCTAAGTCAACGGGATTATTCCCAGGTAGCAAGTCAATTCCTGAGTCACCTAGGGTTAAGTCCATTAGTACATCTAAGATGAAGTTGAATAGAAAAGGAGATAATGGGCATCCTTGACGGACACCACTGGTCGTCATCAGTTCAGATGACAGCTCGCCGTAAGCCCTCACCTGGCTGTATGAGTACGAATAGAGTGCCTTAATCAGTGCAATATATTTTCTTGGAATTCCCTTTACAGCCAAGCATCTCCAGAGAACTTCCCGATCGACAGAGTCGAATGCTGCCTTTAGGTCAAGAAATATAATGACTGTTAGACGCCGGTAGGAATGCCTATGTTCTAGAATCTGTCGGAGGGTGAAGATATGATCAATACACCCTCTTCCTGGTCTAAAGCCTGCCTGGGTCTCTCGTGTTTGTGCTTCCCGAGCACCACTCAGTCTACGCATGGACAGGTAGACTATGGCAGTTTCATCTTAAGGAACATATATTAAGGCGTCTTGGTGAGTTGCACTTGAATCTTTTGGTAATTAAGTTGGTACCGAAATAGGCCATAGAGCCAGTTTTGGGAAATGTGCTTTTTTAGGACGATTGCAACCATTCCATACCTAAAGTATGTTTCACGATGTCACTTGTGTAGCATTCGCCAAATTGCTAAATCTTTGGCGTAGGTGTGACATTAGGTTATCGACCAAATGCTTGCATATCATTTGATAGTTACTTTCGCCCACAATGTCCTGAAGCATTGTCATCGAAAGCGACAGATGTCAAAAGTACAAATGTTTTTGAACACTGGTGTCTGAGCTGTCTCCCGTGTCAAGTGGTAGATAATATTTTGGTTTTTACTAGAAAAGAAAGTGAGCTGATATAGATTCATATAGATAGGATACGTGAAATGAATGCTGAACCGTTATCTTTCTTATTGGGCAAGCTCATCTGATATGGAATTAGAATGAAAAAGGTTTGGCACTGGCTAGATAACGCATCTCACCAATTCAAGAAGTTTGACAGTTGGTATGAGCCAACTAGGGAAGGTGTAGTCTAATTGGAATACGGGGTCACATGGTTCACAATTGTTTTGAAATGACGAAGATGCAATCACTTTAGTAGACTCTCATATGTCTGTCTGTCCGTTTTCGGCATAGAACTTTGCACTTATGTGTGGCAGTTCACGTCGCCACACTCCATGTAGCAGATAAGGCAAGAGGAGAAAGAAGAAGAAATGCATAATAGGGACAGTAAACAGTTTTGAGACAAAGAAATAGTAGTAACGAAGATCGAAACAGTTTCATTGGAAATCATAAGTCACAAGGAGTGGATGCATCTGCGCCATTGAGAACGATTTCGAGCCATGTCACCAATTGTTTCCGACCATTGGTTTTTACCGTCCCGAGGACCCCAACCAGGAAGTCTACGCCTTCCTACGTGGCTTAGACTAACTGTTGTAGATTTCATTGACTGGTGCCATGTTTTTGTTTGACCTCCACTAGCTCTTTTCCAGCCTGACCCTATATCAGCTAACATTACCCGTCGAGGGAGGCGATGACTAGGCATACTTAACACACGTCCTAACCATCTCAGTCGATGTAACTTCACAACCTCGTCGATTGATTTCCCCTGTTTACCTAGAACTCGACGCCTAACCTGTACATTGCTCACCTTATTATACCACTTCACATGGGAAATAGAACGCAGGCACCTATGATCAAAGACAGCTAATCTTTTCATGTCCTCCACTCTCAGTGACCAGGTCTCACAGCCATAAAGGAGGACGGAGCGAACTGATGAGCAGCATACCCGCCCTTTGGTCGATAGTCGGATATCACGTCTACGCCAGAGACGGCGTAAACTGGCATATGCGGAACTAGCCCTCTGTATCCGTGCTGAGATTTCGTCGGAGATCAACCCGTTGGGGCTGATGGTACTTCCCAAATAAGTGAAGCGGTCAGCGTGCTCTACCACATCACTTCCTATTTCTAATCTAGGAGTCGGTGTAGTCCAGTCCTGTAACATCATCTTGCATTTGGCGGGAGCGCATCGCATGCTAAACATTCATAGATTGCAGCTCAAGGTGTTTAGAAGACTCTGCATTTTGTCAGCGTCCTCGCCTAGAAGGACTATATCGTCTGCATATTCTAAGTCAACGAGATTATTCCCTGGTGGTAGCAAGTCAATCCCTGAGTGAGTTAGGGTTAAGTCCATTAGTACATCTATGATGAAGTTGAATAGAAATGGGGATAATGGGCGAACTTGACGGACACCACTAGTCGTCACCATTTCAGATGACAACTCGCCGTAAGCCCTCACCTAGCTGCATGAGTACGAGTAGAGTGCCTTAATCAGTGCAATGTATTTTCTCGGTATTCCTCTTACAGCCAAGCATCGCCAGAGAACCTCTCGGTCGACAGAATCGAATGACGCCTTTAGGTCAAGAAATATAATGATTGTTGGAGGCTGGTAGGAATGCCTATGTTCTGGAATCTGTCGGAGGGTGAAGATATGATCAATACACCCTCTTCCTGGTCTAAAGCCTGCCTGGGTCTCTCGTGTTTGTGCCTCCCAAGCACCACTTAGTCTACGCATGATTATTGAGCCTAGGACTCCCATGTGGGATTTTCATTGATCGCCGTAAACTTTTCTACCATGAATTTTATCTTTGGGGTTTTCTTCTACACTCGTGTTATGATGGAAATCGGCATTAAGTCGTTTATGTTTTGTATAAAGCCCCGTGTCGTAACTGTGAGTTGTCAATCAGCTATTGGCGTGAGACGAAATAGCTCACTAATTCTCACACCCGACTGAGTTTCAGTAAAGAACTTAGCACAGTAGTTCAGCAGTTTAAGTTACAACACTCCATATAGTACACAAAGGTAACGAAAGGAGATTCAAGAGAATATAATGAACATAAATGCATGAGGGGAAAATTGGTAGCACAGACGGGCATGAGAAATCGTTGGATGGTGGTGATCACAAAGAGTGAATGCATCTGCGTTACTGAGTGCGATCCTGAATGATATCACCAATAGTCTATGGCCATTTGCTTTTAGCATTCTGAAGACTCTAACTAGGTAGTCCACACCTCCCCATCTGGCCCTAACCAACTGTCATAGACTTCAAGGACTGATGCTAAGTTTTCGTCTGACCATGCTTCGCTCTTATGCAACCAAGGTCTATGCCAGCTAACATTGCTCACAGTGGCTTTGTCTGTGTAACACGAGTCCTAGATGCGTCGATCGATTCATCTTCATCAATTGACTTACCTTCTTTACGTTAAACTACACCTAACCTCAGTGTTATTGGCCATATCATACCACTTGATATGGAGAACAGAATGCAAACATTTATGGTTGAGGGAAGCTAGCCTTTTGATAGTTACCACTTCCAACCGCTGTCTCAAAGCCATAAATGAGGGCAGAGTGGACCACTGCAGGGTACGCTTGAGTTTGGCCAATAGTTGGATGTCACATCTACGCCAGAGATAAGGCAAGTTAGCAAATTTCACACCAGCGTTTCATATCCGTGCTGAGACTTCATCAACTCAGACCGTTTAGGCTTATGACTTTCCAAATAAGTAAATTGGTCAAAACAATGAATTCACTCTCTGTAACTAGAAGTCGATGTAGTTGAGTCCTGTAGCATACATTTACATTTGGTATGAGCCAATTGCATACCAAACACTCAAAGATTTCTGTTCAAGGTGTTTGGAAGACTCGATTTTACCAGCGACTTCAACATGGAGAAGAATATCACCCGTGTACTACTCCACACCGATGGAACTGTCCCGTGACAACTGGTCAATCCCATTAGCGCACTTGTGATAAAATTAAACTAAAGTGGTGACAGTCGACATTCCTGACTCACACCACTGGTTACCATAACTTAAGATGACATTGTGCCTTGGGCTCGTACACAACTTCTAGTATTTGGGTGGAGTGCAGTGAATTAGTGCGATGAACTCCCATCACGGTCAGACATTGTCATAACATTTCCAAGTTGACGGAGTCGAATGTCGCCCCCAGGCCAAGAGATATGGGGGTTGCAGGACACCAGTGAGTATGCACATGTCCCAGGCCTAAAACTTACGTGGTTCTGCCCACTTTGATTCTCCTGAGCACCGCTTATTCTACGCGTGATTGTTGAACCTAGGACTTCCGAGACTACATTAGTCAAGCTAACTCCCCTATGTTAATCACAGGGGAACTTGTCTCATATTATGAAATGCGATAACCAATAATATGCAACAGTTTTACGGCGATATCCTTAATTCGCGGACATTACCTAAGACCCTAGTTAACCCAGACAACAACAGTTTGCCTCCACTTCCCTCAAACACTTCTAGAGTCATTCCATAGGGTATTCCTGCTTTGCCTCGCTGCATATTAGATACAGCCTTTGTAGTCTTATTCAGAGTTGGCGGACTGTTGCCAACATTCAGTATGGGTAAGTGTTAGATGCTGGACAAGTTCATTGTGGCTATAGGCTGTTAAAATCGCTCCTTGAAGAGTTCAGTCCAACGGTTCAATCGTCTATCCTGAGGACGAATTAGGGCGCCGTCTCCCTCGGAGTTTGTCTGGCATTTTGAAACCTATTTCCTCAATAATTTCAAATAGTTGTTTGGTGTTACCTATTACTGACGTCTTTTCTATCTTCCTCGCTTTTAAAACTCACCCCTTGCTCGTGGCCAACTCGGAGAATTTCGATCACCTGACTTTTGCCCCTCAATATGTACAGATCCTGTTGGAATCAGTCTGCTTGTGTCAATCAGTTTGGATAAGGCGATAGGATCCCCCTGGCATTTACTAACTCTTCATTTTTAGCCATCAACAACCTTTACCGTTGTTTCTACAGCTGACGTGATATAATGTCAAGCTTTTTCAGGATGAGCATTGCTGTCAGCCTCACACGCGTTAAGCTGGTTTTTTTCTGGGATAGGGACTTAGTGTCCTCATTGAATTGGGAGAGTTGCAGTTTCAGTGGTGCTTGTTTACCATGTCTGTTCAGTTTCAGGCAAGTATATGTGCCGACTAGGTCGTGACCAGAGTTTACGTGAATGTTAAAGGAGCAGCAGTTTATCTACTGACCCTCTCTTTCAATAGTCTATCGCTATATAGTTTATGGTAGTCCGTTTATCTGATGCAGGAATCTGGAATTAGTGCAAGTTCATTCAAGCACCCCGTCAAATAAGTAAGTAAATGAAGCGGTCGGATACAGTGAGCACTTTCCTGACTGACAGTTTACTGCTTATCTGTGATCCTATTAAATGCATTTTTGACAATAGTGGAAAACTGGGCTACTCACAAAAGCATAAGTTTATCCAGCTTTGCACGTGATGCGCCAGAGATGTTGTTTAGATGGACGACAAAAGCTTCGCAATTAAATCAACCAGCCCAGAGAATGCAGCTTATTCAATTTGACAGTCGCAATAATTGGCATTAATTTGTTCCGTAGCACAGCTCGTGCGATAGATACAAATTACTGGGTGAGGCTATTCGTTAACTAAACTAAGCTGGATATATTGCTATAAGATAATATTGTGAATCAGAAGCTGTCTGAACGTGACATCCCTGAATATTCGTTTCTCGTGTATTAGCTGTGCAAAGGTACCGAGAACGAGTGGTTTCTAACGCAACCGTATGGGGCTCGTGTTAGTTCCCATTGGGACTTTGTGTATTGATATAACAAGTAAGATTTGGGCCTTGTGGTAGACCACAATTCCATCAAAGATCAGATCTTTTTGATAAAAGCACACAGTGATACAGTTTATTTGCTTACTGATGACGTCGTGAGCACAATCTATTGCTCATAATTATATCAAGGCACTCGCATATTCTTCAAGTCTCGCTTTTTACAATTCCACTAAAGCTTACCCTATGCACGTATTGGCGGTGATATTTTCCATGTCCGGTATTGTCAGCGAGTCATTCTTATTGTATGTGTTAGGTGTGAATTCGGTGAACAAAGTCCCGGTGATCAGCCTCTCCCAACAACTACTCATGTCGCTTCTTGTAACTGCAGTTCTCCCACCCTATTGATTGTTACTACGTGCATTGAGATTTCTGAGTTATTCTCCAAACTATTCATCGTTAGGTCAGTCATCCTGCACTTATCTAAATTCTTTTGTTCCGGTGATATGACTACCCCGACCTACTGGTCTGACATGTCAGTCGTTGCAAGCGTTCCAGTAGATTGCGCAACTTTGTCTAATGACATCAGTTGGGTCATACACAGTTTGTCTCACTTATCGATATTCTCGAGATCGCTGTGAAATTGAGTAATTTTTGGCATGTGCTATCTACAAGCAAACATTCGACCATAGGTATGAGAACAACTCACTTTCGGACAAAACACGAGGCATTTTCACAAAACCTTTACTGACCTCTGTCAGCTCGGAATAAAACTTGTGCGCCGTGGTAAAGTTGAATTCCGTCATGTAGAAAATTTTATTTTGATAGTCTCTCAGTGTTATGCACTAGTATTTACTGATGGCGTTCTGAGCAGAATTTATTGCTCATAATCATGAAGGTACACAACTTTCTGACTTCATTTATATACATGAGTGAAGAAATTAACTAGACATACGAATGAGTAAAATAAAAGTCAATATACATGCGTGAAACAGAAAGGAAGATAGAATACATTTGGAAATAATATTGGTTATCAACATAATGTGATACAATGGGAGGTAAGACGAGTGTTGTCAGTCAATAAAGTGTTTTCTCAGTAAAATAAAATAACATGTACGAGTGTGAAGACGTGAATTGAAATGAAAGATTCGAATATGGAGATAAATATACATGACGAGTAGGATTGTTGACAGACGGTCACAGTTGACTACGTTGACCCTCATAATTTTAACATTAGCCTGAGAGGCTCTAATGTCAGTAATCTTACCTCACATCTAAGGAATCTGGCCTGTTTACTGGCAGTAGTGATGCTGTTTTATGAAGTGGTGCATTTTCCACCGGTTTGACGTGAATTGCCATGCAATACCTCACAACATCTGAGAGCATCAACATCGATGATTAAGAGGTACTTTGTGTTCACTTATCAGATCAATAAGCTGATGACTGTCAGTTTGAACCTTTCGTGTGACTACTTTGTTTTGGTTATCCCAAACACTAGTACTATGAACATTTCGAGCCCCGAAACTGTCTGAGCACTGCTTAAGCAAAAGTAAATGCATAATGAGGAAACGCTTGTTGAACATTCATATCGTAAAGAATAAGGAATTCTGGGCCATAGTAATAATATCAAGATGAGAGTAAATAGATATATACATGATGAGCATATCTATCGGCGTTTCCTCTCGATGCTTGAAAATTAATACTGGGTGAAATTGTTATTTCGAATTTATTAGACTGAAATTCTGTCTGTGTTGATATCTCAGTTCCTGATACAGATGGTCAAAGGATGTTTCGAAGTTATTTTATCGATGCTGGCAGACGATGGCTAATAAATCTCGTGTTTCTCTCGAAGTATAAGAATGATAATAATGGTTAAATTATGCTCACAAAGCCGTTTCAAGCGGACTGCGTGCAACCGACTATAGGTAGATGTCCCCTTTGGTCTAACAGTACCGTTTTCCCCCGTTTCCTCTTGCCAACGCAAAATATTCAGACTACGATGTGTGGCAGCATAACGGTGATCCTCATAACTGGGAATGCTTAACGTTTTCAATTTGTATTATCGCGAAGTGCGACAATTGACTTCGAACTAGGGGAACACGAATATATAGTCGAATGATATATCGAGATAAGTTGACCGGCCGCGTGTGGCATACGTAGTAGGAAAGGGAAATCTCAGTAAAATTATCCAGTGCATGTAGCAGATCAGCTAATAATATAATGCCAAATGCTCCATCAGGCTCCAAATAACTACAAATCTTTCATGCGTGATATAGGAACAGTGATAAGACTGGTAATCATTGATGACTTATTTGTGTATAGTATCTCAAAGTCCGGTTAAGAGTCTGTAGAATGGCTGGAGATGGGATTAAAAAACTACTTGGTTGCACAGCCTGTCAGCGATTTCATTCCGAAAAGTTGTAAAATCGCAATTCATATGACTTAGCGTGATTTTCGACTGTTATTCAGTTTAACAGCAATGAAGGCGTGACGTTTAAATGAGATAGTTTTCAACTTGATATGGAAGTTCGTGGATATGATGACATGTGAGTGTAAATTAAAAGAGGGATGTAAAACAAACTATTTTCCTAACCCTGTATTATTATTTAGGTCACGATCCTCCATGTGACCTAAATTCTTTCATCACACCTGCGAACTTTCATATCAACTATGGAATTATTACTTCATTTAAATCTTGCCTTCGTAGGTGTATCGAATTAAATAAAAAAATTCCGAATTATGCTAACGTGTATGAATTGCGGTTGCAAAACTTTTGAAAACAAAATCGTTGAAAAGGTATGCTTTGCATGACTTCTTGTTTGTTCTTTTCTAATGTCGTGATGAGTATCCTGTACGGTTTGAAATTTCTAGAAACCACACGGAAACGTCATTTGAACACGCAGTATGAACAGTTAACAACAGGTGCTGATCGGATATAGCAATTCTAAAAAGATCTGTAGTTTGCTAGTGATGATAAAAAAACCCATAGAGCTTAGTGAATGATATTATCTCATTTAAGTTTCTTTATTAATTTTAGTAATAGAATAGTATCTTTCGGTTCCGAAGTTAAAAAAAGTACACGCGGTTAGTATATTTACAAATATCACAAGAATGGATTACAAGTGAATCACAGAAATGAAGACACTAATATTACATACACTCAATCAATTGTTGGAATACCTAGTATATTAACTGAGAACACAATGGTTAGCAGAACAATGGATGTTTATCTCTCACAATCATCAAGAGACTTGTCTTTCCTTCTCCAAATGATGACAGCACCTTTCTCATCTGCTGATGCTAACATATTTTCTTCCCAACTGATTGCAACATCTAGTACGGGAGCTATATGTCCTTGTAAGATTGTTACAATGCCGCCAGATAACTGCTTAGGTCTATTGAAGACATTTCCTGTTGCAGAATTGCTATTACGATTGCCTAATACGTTATACAAATAGACATTACAATCTTCGCTACCACTTACTGCGCAAGCTCCAGAACGGAAAGATATAAGTGGTGCAAAGCAAGAATGAATTAGACGAAGAGTTGAGGGATTTGAACTTTGTTGTAATGGAAACCTTTGTTCCAGTATTAGCTGTCTTCCATGTAGTGTTAATCGAAGCAGCAAAAGCCCTATACCCGCTACATTGACTAGCATGTATGTTTCATTCTTTTCTTTTGACAGCCAATCGTACATTGAAAGGCTAGTTATACTAGGCTTCATGAGAGTGTTTTTATTATTTGTCTTAAGTATGCCACCAGATATGCGTATTCGGTCTTTGTTACTGGTCCACTTTTTGAAACTTTGATCTGCTTTAGATAGGAAGAGAGCTTTACGACTACCATTTAATTCTTCGTTCAACTGATCGTGCAGTTTTATTTCACCATCCAGAAATGAGGACAAAATGGAAACGTTTAATAAGGATAGATCGAAACGCTGAGATCTTGTAATGAAACCTGTTGATGATTCACATACGTAAGATTGAATTATACCCCGATCAGTTCCAACCCACAAATAATTGCCAGATGCATTTTCAAAAGCCAACGTTGTGATACAACCAGTACCCAATAAGCTGCGCAGCTCAATCACCGAAGAATTAAGACAAGTTTTACTGTGGCGAGTGATGTGAATGCGGTCCATCCCTCTGACGCACGCCTTACCTGTGGAGAGGTTTAGCATCTAGAAAGGAAATACTGTAATAATCAGGAAACTATCGAAAAAGTTTTAGGGTAATGAACACTGTAATACACTCAAATCAAATACATGTCCATTGTCTACAAACATGGAGGTGTTTGGGCTAAGTGAATATATGCAATTAACCTTCCGGAAGAAGTCATACATACGTAGCATTATTATGTGTTAGGGTCAAATAAATAAGCACTTTAACACTGGAAGCATTAAGCCATTTCAGATAAAATTAAACGAATTCGTATAAAAATACTTATGATATGAAAGAGTTAGTAAATAGAGGTTTACAGTGCATTAAACCACTTATAGAAGTCATCGGTATACAGGGAGTCCACATCGAAAACCGTGATGTTTGGTGAATGTTTATACAATCAGAGATTCAAAGTGTATATGAATCATATCTATTTAAGAAACAGAGCAAATAAATATACTCCTTACTAATTAGTCCCTTATCAACAGATCTGCACTAATATATACAGTTTACAGGATTTCATCTGACATCGTTTAGAGGACTATTGGAAAACCCTGGAGTACTGGAGAGCTGTTTCGTCCTAACAGGGTGTAGAAGGTCGGGTGTGAGGACAAATACTCGGCGAAGATATTGGCTAGCGATAGTGCTATGTCGTGAATTGACAGAATTTGGAATCCATGGGTCGTTGGATCGGGTCCCAGTGGCTTAATGGTCTACGAGCTCGCCTTGTAACCACTAGGCCCTGGGCTCGAACCCCGGTGGGTGAGTACTGATGAAGAGCCCCGAACTAGGATGACACAGCTGTCCAGTATTCCCAGGTTTCCCAATGGTTCTCTAACGGATGTCAGCTCACGACGAAGTCCTGTAACTAATCAATCAAATCCCTACAAGCCGATACTTGATATATAAAGTCTAAAAAAATAGAAATCATACAGTAATGAGTTAGTGTTTAAAAGATATTAATTTTGAGGAATAGAAGGGGTCATAATAATTACAGAAGTAAAAGTCCGTTTATTTGTAGAAATCAATAACAGGTTAATATATAATTGATAACTTGTATGATAATGATGATTAAGAAGAATGAGTGGACAGGTTTGTTAAGTAATTCAGTAAGCATACCAGAGTATGAAGTAGTCGGATAAATTGGCTCCCATGGAGCTCTACAGGGGATTATATAATAATAAACTGTTGTTAATTTCTACATATCAACTGAATTCCAATTCCCTTTATTCCTCAAAATTATTCTTTATTGACTAACGTATCACCATTCGACTGCCGTAATTTGGGTGGATTATTTCTTTAAAATTCACATGTTAGTAAAAACAGGTTGGCAGAGAATTTATTGAAAAGGATAATAATAATTCTCTGCTTGACTTGTTTTCTTTCTAGATGCTAAATCTGTTTGCCAGATAGCGCTTTAATCAGCACTTCAGATACATGTAATTATTCGAATTCTATTGGTCATATCTCCATACTAGAATAACTAACTATGCCTTTACTAATAATGTGCGTAGGTTTACCTGGGGAATAATGTAAACTAAATCACTACTGGTTTGAAATAAGCTGGCATAGTATCTGTCCTAATTCAAGTTTTTGTGTTAAGACAAAATCACTACGAAAATCTTCGTTATTTTTATGTGATCCTGAGTGTGGAAATCCTTATTCTATTCAAAAAATAATAATAAAAATAATAATAATTGAAACCTAAGCTTCGATGTGCACTGGTAATTAAAAAATTTTTTTTATCTTATTCCTTTATGATCCCAGTGGATCATAAGGCTTCAAGCTAGAGCTTTGAAGTTTCGGTGGCAGTGGTGTTTATTTTTACGACGTCAGGTTGCTAACCTCATACCCAACCTCCCTACTTTACCTGTCTTATTACCGGATTAGCGAGGTAAAGGATTGCGTTTGGCGAGGATTGGACCCCGGGCCACGTGCGTGGTTGGCGATCAGTTAACCGGCCAAGTCAAAAACGCGCTGGTAGCTATAGACGTCTAATATGATATAACAGAACTATGTAAAAGATACAGAAATGAAATACTTGACTAAAAAAATGAAATAGGTAAGCTATATTAATCAAGTGCATTCATATTTCTTAAGGAAGTAGAATGACGAAAAAGACCGCCCCATCAGATCGTTGAAGGTAATCGGTAAGACGTCTTGGACCTAGATTTCGGGCTTATTTGCACTCGTTAGTAAGGAACTCATGTTCCCTCTGACATTCGAACTCGTGTCACCCAGTGCTGAAGTCAAAGATGTTATCATTGAGCTATTTGTGCTGGCGATTGACCTTCTTTAGGACTATATTAGATACTCTGATTGAACACTAAGTAGTAGGGAACCAGTGTCATGCATCTAGTCTTTTGTTTGATGAAAAGCATCATATCCCCAATGGTTTGGATTCAGTACCATATCACATGATCCACCGGACCCCATCTAGGAAGATGCGGTGGATGCTAACGCTAAACAACCGTCCTTTACTTTGCGACACTAGGCTAACTGATTCTCTGCATTTCCAATCAATAGGAAGACTAGAAAATAGTGAATATTATAGATAACTTACTAACATACGACCTATACTCCGGTGTGATATCTCCATATAACCGAAAGAAATAGAAGTATGCACCGCTAGACATCAGAAATGATACACTGACACCACTGGATGCAAATTACTCTACACAGAGAGGAATGGCAATTGTCCCAAGTCACGTCACACTTTCAGCTTGGACAAGCGAGGCTTTACACGTGTTAAGCAAGGCAGAATATATCTCAGCAATACCAGTCCAACGCCTGACGGTCGGATTATTGTTGCGGCGCCAAAAAAGACCGATGACATCGTATATCTCCCTAGTCTTCAATTTAACTTTGTGACTTCCATCCACCAGCACTCATACAATTACCTATACATAAAGACTTTAAATGCTTCTAAAAATTTTACTAAAGGGGTGATTGTGATTACTGGCTGGTTGGTTTCAACATAGAACTTCGCAAAGGTGAGCAGCAGCACGAGTTGCCACAATCCACGTAGCACACAAAGCAAGAGAAGAGAGTAAAGAGAGGCTCAAAAGAAAGATAACAATTAGAACTGTGAAGCAAAAAGAATAGTAGTATGGAGGGATTATAGATTTTTACTAGATATAAGAGTTCACAAAGAGTGAATCTATCTACAATATGCACTGAGAACGATTTTGATGCATATCATCAGTTGTCTCCAGACATTGATTTTTACCATTCCGAGGAGCCCAACCAGTCAGGAAATCTACACCACCCTACGTGGTTTAAACTAACTCTTGTGGATTTCATTGACTAATGCCGTGTTTTAGTTTGACTACCACTAGCTTTCCCCTCAAGCCTGATCCTATGTCAGCTAGCTAACATTGCCCTTCGAGAGAGGCGATGGCTAGGCATGCGTAACACATGTCCTAATCGTCTCAATCGGTGTGACTTCACAACCTCGTCCATTGATTTCCCCTCTCTACCTAGCAGTCGACGCCTAACCCTAATATTGTTCACCTTATTATACCAGCTCACACAACAGATGGAACGCAGACACTGATGATCAAAGACAATTAGTCTTTTCGTATCTTCCACTTTTAATGGCCATGCCTAGCTCACAGCCATAGAAAGGGTGAACCGCTGAGCAGTACACAAGTCTTTTGATCGACAATCCGATATCACGTCTACGCCAAAGAAGACATGAGTTGGCATATGCTACTTTGCTTTTAGTCTAATCGCTATCCTAACAGTCTTCTTGGCATGGTAGGACCTGCAGGAACAAAAGTTCCAACCAGGGTGGGTAGCTTGTTGGATCATTGCAATATGCAAGCCTGACCACCATATCAAGGTAGCAGCTATCAGTCGGGCGAGTACAGGCAAAAAACAATCGTGCAACGAAATTTCGCACTTAAAAGTACAGAGCACATCGCTGTACTTAACGGCACTGATATCGCACGACTAGGATTGCAACACAGAAAGACAATATGATCTATTTACAAAAGATCGTATAGTCTTTATTCAGACAGTATGTCTGCTCCACTACTATGTTTATCTATACAACTGAAATCGACGACGACATTAAAGAGAAATGTTGAAGTTAGATAACTTAGTTTAATACCACTTACAGTGATAAATTGTTATGGAACCTCACTCTATATGAGGTTGTTTTGTATAGAGCATTGCGGATAAAAACTCTCGTTTCTGTAAAATTTCATGCCAACAGTTTGTGGAAACTATCATAATTATTTACCTTTCGAACACTAAATCTGTGGATATAATCTTATTGACAGATAATACCTATAAATAACTGTTTGGATTTGTGAAATTTTTAACATAAACTCATATCTATAATTGTGTATATTGTTGGATTTATATGTTCAAGTTGTCCCAAGGCAGTGAGTCTATTGTTTTGGTATCATTTTAGTTAACTGTGCTGAACTATATTGCATGTTGTTGTATTGTATTAATGTTGTCGCTTTTTGCCCTTTTTGCTGTGAATTGTTTTCCTTTTGCTGATGTTGTTCTGGTTGTTTTGTCCCTTGTTATCCGATTTTAAGGGGAGCAACCCACAAGATCGCTTCTCTCTAAACTTTACCTTAATGTAATCATTCCTTCTCAGGCGTGAGGCTAGCAACCCCACCCTGTAAACAAAATTGCTACAGAAACTTCAGCACGATGAACCTCTTTGCACCAAAAGGAAAAGTCTGTGTGGGGACATGGAACGTCCGGACTATGTACGAGACTGGGAAAGCTGCCCAGATCGCCAACGAGATGAAAAGATACGGAATCCAAGTACTGGGAATATGTGAAAGCAGATGGAATGGGAATGAACTCACCGAATTGTCAACGGGTGAGTCAGTGACCTACTCCAGTCACCACACGCACACCGAAGGCGTGGCTATGATGATGTCACCAACGGCAACAAAGGCCCTGATGCAATGGGAAGCGATCTAGTCCAGGATAATGACCGCCAGATTCAACTCCAAAGGAAGGAGAGTTTCAATCATACAATGTTATGCACCCACAAACAACGCAGACCTCGAAAAGAAAGAAGAATTCTACAGACAACTACAGGCAACAATGGACAATACTCCAGCTGGCGACATGAAAATACTAATGGGAGACATGAACGCCAAACTGGGGCCAGACAACACTGGAAGAGAACTCATCATCGGTAGAGAAGCTCTCGGAGAAATGAAAAAAAATGGAAAACTCTTCGCCGACTTCTGCGCCTTCAACGAACTAGTTATTAATGGCAGCGCATACAAACAAAGATATCCACAAGGCTACATGGGTGTCACCAGATGGGTAAACCAAAAACCAAATTGACTTCATCTCAATGCTGCTCAAGGAAGTGGAGGCGCAGCCTACTGGATACAAAAGAGAGAAGAGGAGCAGACGTTGGCTCAGACCACTATCTAGTACACAGTGGTTAGGACTCTCGCCGACCATGCACATGGTCCGGGGTTCGAGCCCGCGCCGACGCACACCTGATATCTATGGTCGGCCTGCAAAATTTGGGCTACCGATATCCGTGCTGAAAAATCCATACTTGTACCGAAAATACAGTGTGGAATCAAGCTGTAAATAAAAAAAAAATAAAATAAATAGTACAAGGGACAATCCAAATCAAATTAAAAGCTTTCAGGGAAATAGGAGCTGCAGATAGACCGCAAGCCAAGTTCAACACTCAAAAACTGAAGGACCAAGATACAAAGGACATCTTCATTGCAAGCATAAGGGACAAAGCCGAAACACAATTCAACACTAGCGAAGAGGTCGGTGTCGAAAAGCACCGGGACAACTTGAAAATTGTGTGGAGTCAAACCTGCATGGAAGTTCTAGGCAGAAAGAAGAGACGAGACAAAGAGTGGCTCACTGCAGACACTTGGAAACTAATACAAGAGAGAAGGATAGTGAAACAAAAGATTATCCAGTGTACCGACGAGCAACAAAAACAGAAGTTCAATGCAAGCTACAATACACTGAACAAAAGAGTAAAGAAGAGTGTCAGGGAAGACAAAAGAAAATATTATGAAGCCATGGAAAGTGAAGCAGAACAAGCTGCAGCAGGCAAAGGAGACCTCGCCACACTCTACCAAACAACTAGGAACCTATCGCACAATAGTTCGACACAGATTAAGCCAGTAAAGGATGACAATGGAAAGTCAATCACCAAGGAGGTGGAACAAAGAAAACATTGGGCTGAACACTTCAAAAGACTTCTAAATCGACTGCCACCTACAACGCGCCTGACAATACCAACAACGGAAGCGGAACTACCGGTGAACATCGCCCCCCCGACGAAATCAGAAGTCCTGAAGGCAATCAAGATGCCAAAAGCTGGAAAAGCAGCAGGACCAGATGGAATCCCAGCAGAAGTATTGGAAATGGACCCAGAGACAACAGCGGACTTGATGACACCACCACTGGAGAAGGTGTGGAAAGAAGGCAAGGTGCCTGAGGATTGAAAGAACGGATACTTATTTAAACTGCCAAAGAAAGGAGACTTAAGTCAATGCAAAAACTGGCGTGGAATTATGCTCCTGTCCATTCCAAGCAAAATACTAAGCTGCATCATCCTGGAGAGAATCAAACAAGCCAACCTGGATGCAAAACTCCGACCGGAACAGGCAGGATTCAGGAGAAACAAGTCATGTATTGATCAAATCGCCACTCCACGGATCATCATTGAACAAAGATTGGAATAGCAGTCACCTCTCCATCTCAACTTCATCGACTCTGAAAAGGCCTTCGATCAGCGTCGATCGAGAGGTGATTTGGCAACTACTTCGCTACTACGGGGTCCCATCGACAATTATACACCTCATCCAACAGTTATACGACAATGCTGCATGCCAAGTAATCCACAACGGGAAACTTACGGAAGCCTTCGAAGTGAGGACGGGAGTGAGACAAGGCTGCCTACTACCACCAATGATCTTCCTGATTGTGGCAGACTGGATAATGCGACAGACAATGGGCAATGAGGAAACAGGCATAAAATGGACTCACACAAAAAACTTGGAGGATGTGGACTTCGCCGATGACATATGTCTGATTTCCCACAAACTAGAAGATATGCAAGTGAAAAGCAACAAGCTGGCAGAAGAAACATCAGAAGACAGGACTTCAGGTGGACATAGATAAAACAGAGGTGATGAAGATTCCTGGCCAACACCACCAACAACAACAACAGACAACAATCAGCCAGCATAAATGTGAGGAACCTGAAAGAAACAGCCTCCTTCACCTACCTAGGAAGCATCGTTTCAACTACAGGGGACGGAACTGACGAGGATATCAAAGCCAGAATCGGAAAAACAAGACAAGCTTTCACAACTCTCAAGTCTGTGTGGAGGTCAACAGCACTCAGCATCAAAAATAAGATCCGGATTTTCAACTCCAGTGTGAAGTCAGCCAGCGCTACTATACGGATCAGAGACTTGGCGCGTCATAAAGAGCATCTCAAACAAACTACAGAGCTTCATTAACAGCTGTCTTCGCTCATTACTCAAGATCAGATGGCCGGCCAGAAAAGATCAGTAATAGGGATCTCTGGCAACGAGCGAACCAACACAGCAGGAACCGATTGTGAAACAAATAGGCAGGAAGAAATGGAGGTGGATTGGACTGGCCATACTCTGAGGAAACCATCAAGTGACATCACTAGACAAGCCATTACTCGAGTGGAACCCGAAAGGGAAGTGGCGAGTTGGACGTCGAATGGTGACTTGGAGGAGGTCATGCGAGGAGGAGATGAAAGCATGTGGACAGACCTGGAGCGGGGTGAAAAAGTTGTCAGAAAACAGAAGGCAATGGAGGTGCGCAGCTGAAGCCCTATGTTCCTCTAGGAATTAAAGGATAAAATAATAATAATAAATAATTGCGGATATGGATAAACACTTCAGAGATCTGTCTGCCACTTGTAGTCCCAACGAACAGTCCTATCCTTGGAAATGGAAGCGACTAAACATTACGAAATGCGTTGAGTTTCCACCTGTGACAGTGTGACGCTCTGGTGGAGAGTGAAGACATGATAGACACATACACAGCCTGATCTTTGCAAATCAATTTTTACACGTTTCAAAGGGTCTGTGAATGATGACCATAACTAGCAACTTTTACAATGATTGTCACATGCAATACATACTCCCTTTTAACAAGTGGTACGGTGGTCTCAATCCAGACTGATAAACAGTCTATTACATATACCTTCCCAGACAATTTAACCATTTGGACCAAGTACCATACGCAACCTGATTGCTTGACGGTCCTTAGGGATCTCTGCTTTACACAGGTCACTAGAAATAATAAGACTACAAACAAAAGCATCGAAGAGAAACGCAAATATATGACAGAAGGAATAGTGAGAGTTTTGACAATCCACTATGTCACAAAGAGTGAATACATCTGCGCCATCAAATTTGAGTGCAACATAGTAATGGGTTGCTATATGCACAGCTGCATTTAAAAGTCCTCATCTGACCTGTGACAATCTCTTTATTAACTTTCCAGTTAACAATACGACAATCATCAAACGACGATGATCAAGCTCATCTTTATTGCAACCAGGTTACTATTCTTCGGTGCTCAGGCGACGAAAAAACAACACTTTTCGGATCACTTGGATCTTACTCTAGTACAATCCTACTTCTAATGGAGATTTAATGTAGAGATGCAGCTCGAGGACCGAAGCTGATTATCACACCAATGACATAAAGCAGAAGACAGTGTAACACAGTCCCTGAATAAGCGCACACGAAACGTAATTTTGAGCCGATAAATGGAAAAATACTCCAAGTAAACGAAGGGAAATACCGAATAAGTGATGAAAAAAAGATAATTCAATGAAGAATAGTTTTCTTTATGGACAAAATTATGTTTAGAGACTGTATGATAATGGTCACTCTTTGTGAAACACGTGAGTTTACTATTGAATAACACAGTCAATTTATGTTATTGAAACAGTGGCTTAAAGACAGAAAAATCAAATCACATTGTCAAATTTGAAATACTCACATTTATTCTTTTTGATTACTATGTAATTTTATTTACTCAACTCTAAAAACTGCTTTTGGATTACTACCTTTGTGTACTACATGGAGTGTGGCAACTTGAACTGATGGACATTTGCGCAAAGTTCTATGAGGAAATTTAGTCAGTATCAAAGATGTGACTCCACCCAACTATTCAATAATAGACTGCTACGTCCGTAAGTAAATATAACTACGAAAATACAGCCCCTGAAGATGACTTCCTCCTCAATAAGCAAACAATTGCTCATTAGTTTGTAGTTTCTTTTTTGAAACTGCTAGTTCGTCGTATTCACAAATTAACTGCTACTTTTTCCACGGTTCGGGTTGTGTAGGTGTGAACATTTTTTCTGGTTTAGTGTGTAGTGTTAACATATGTTTGATGAATAGTGGAAATTATACAATATCGATATTTTGTTATGTGGCCTTCTGCATCTCACCAACACCGAAGAACACAGTGGTTAGGACTCTCGCCGACCATGCACATGGTCCGGGGTTCGAGCCCGCACCGACGCACACCTGATATCTATGGTCGGCCTGCTAAATTTGGGCTACCGATATCCATGCTGAAAATTCCATACTTGTACCAAAAATACAGTGTGGAATCAAGCTGTAAATCAAAAATTAAATTAAATAGTTGCAAAGATATCAACGGAAACTGCAAATATTAAAAAAGATTTCACGAGTGAAACATGAGTTATGTTTACCTGAACAATTCCGGTTGCACTGCCAACAGCGAATAAGTTGTTATTTGCAGGTTGAAATGCGCATGTCAGTAGTGGACCAAGTTTTAGATCCTTACTCAAATACTCTCGCGCTAGCCTTGCTTCCCCAACATCCCAAAGACATATATTACCATCAAGAGATGTACTCACCAGAAACTCATTGGTCATGGACCACGCTATATCAGTAATTTCTGTTTGTTTTACACGAAATTCTGGAAGAACACATGAAATGGAAAAGTGTCTGCTGGTTGGACAAATACGACATATGGATATAGTACCATCAGACGAAGCCAATGCTAAACGACTTGAGTCATGATTTGCAAAGCACAAGCGGTTAACAGACCCTGGGAAAACAATAAAAAATTACAATACACTGAACAAATAATTGGATCACAGAATCAAAACAGTGCTGTACGAATAAATGAAATTTATCGCTTCACAAAACTACACAACACGATAAATTTTATAGTAAATTAGGTGAAAATATTTCTTTTCCCGATTGAATGATATTATGAAAGAAGATTGACGAAACCTGATCCTCAAGATGTATGACACCTGACTCAAAGATGTGTCAATCACTAGTATAAGTTGTACATAAATCCTTAAAAATTAGAACACTACTTAGTAAACTACTTAAATACTCAATCAGAACACTTAAAGTACAAAACAGTATTTTTTCCACAAATTAGGATAAAATTAAGAAAATAAATTTCAATATGTATCGTGGTCATATTCAGGTCCGGAGTACGCAGATTACTGTCAAGATTCGAAGTAGGGTTACTTAGATACAATCAGTGGTAGATACTGTAAGGCGTATTTTGCAACTGCGTTTAGATTAAAGATGTATATCATAATATACTTTATTGTGATATTAGTGATAGGACAAGGAAATATTACTGACAAAATATATCCAGACTCGGATTATGCTTAATTGTACACTGAATTAACCTTGAAGCTACATATGATCAGAATTACTGTTCTAAACGAACTTGATATCCAGCAATCTATCTACAAGAGTGTTAAAGAGCACTAGATGTACACAAAAACAATATGAAAATATTGGGTGGAGATGCTTGTTGTGTAAAAGAGCATACCGTCAGTAAACGCTGGATGTTCGATTCTTGAAAACAGTTGACTGGCATCAATTCCTTATTAAAACATTTATTTCCCGATACGAATTTAAAACAAGCAATAAAGGTTAATAAAGCAGGATTTAATGAATTCATCAAATTTCGGTAGAACTCGTCAGCTGAATACTCTACATACACGGATATATATACTTTTGAAATTACATTGGGAGATATAAGACTGATAAGTAAACAAACTACATTGAATTAATCATGCAGAAAGACACGTGCGAATGTTTTCCAGGTCATGTTCAAATAGATAAGGGGAGAGAGAGTATGAGAGATCAAAATTAAGATAAATGGCATTACGCTTCAATTGCATCACTTAGATAAACAATTAGTCACTAGGGAATATAAGGAGAATTGCAAACAGACTAATATCAATAGTAATAGTTATAATAACAGTTTTAATAGTGTTGAAGTGAGTTAAGATAATCTTACTGATAAAGCATAGTTTTAGATGAATCAAGAATAATAATAATAATAGTAAGAAGAAGAGGTAGAATAATAACAAGTAGAGAATAAAACGTATTACCATGGTAGATTAAGAGTTACGACCATCTCCTTTTGTATACAGAGAGCTGGTTTATAAATTCGAATTGCACAAGCCTCTGCAATTGCAAGCATCTTCTTGTTTCTTTGTTTGCTGACAATGGTAAATGACTTGACTGCGTCGATATCATGTCCGTAATCTACAAGATGTTTTGTTATTGAGGATTTTGGCACTTTGAACTCAGCTGTTTTCAACCATTTTGGCAAATGCTCCATCATGCGAGTAGACAATCGCCTTTCCGTACGACCTATGTATTTGCTGCCACAAACACACTCAAATTGATATATGCAGTTTGAAGTGTCGAGGATTGGCGACTGGTCTTTCCCAGATTGTTGAAGCACTCGCTTGGTGGTGTTAAGGATAACAAGTTTTGCAGCATAATAAGTTCTCTTGATGGCTTTGTCGAGTCTTCGTTTCACTACTTCTTGTACGTCATCTCCTTTGAACGGTAAATTGATATAAACAGGTTTCTTTGGAACTGTTTGAATTGTTTTGCGGGGGTAGTTTCTTTGGAGTATTTATTAATGAACTTCTCAGGATATCCATTCTTAGATAAAATATCCTTCAGAGATTTTATTTCCTGTTCAATAGTACTGTCAGAACAAATTTTCCGTGCTCTATTGAACAGTGTTCTGACTAGGTTCTTTTTGTACTGGATTGGGACAAAGCTCTTGAAATGCATGTACTGTCCTGTCCATGAAGACTTTCTAAATATAGATCTTTCGATTGTGCCATCATTCATTTTGGCTAGAAAAACGTCTAGGAATTTCATAGTATCGTTTTCCTCGTGTTCTACTGTGAAATTGAGATTTGGATGGCATGAATTGAATTTTATCAACATGTCTTCCGCTTTTGATCTGCTTTCACAGACAATAAAAATGTCATCAACATATCTTAGGTATACATTTGTTTCTTGTATGTGCTGCTGCAAAGCACCGGTTTCTAGGCGTGACAAGAATAAGTCGGCGAAAAGTGGTCCCAAAGGGCTTCCCATTGCGACACCATCAACTTGACGGAACAGACGCCCGTTGAATTGGAATTGGACATTTTTAGTACATAAAAGTAGTAATTTCCTCAATTCCGATGTTGGAATGGGTATGTCTTCAGCTTCTTTACATATGAAGTCGATAGTCTCAACAACTGGCACATTTGTGAAAAGGGAGGTAACATCGAAAGAGACCAAATGCTTATCGGATACATTGAAATCTTTAATTTGATTGACAAATTGAAATGAATCAGAGACTATATGTGTTCCGAAACGTTTCAACAATGGCTGCAACAGTTCACATAACCACTGTGCTAGTCTGTGGTACGGCGAGTTTATCATAGAGAGTATGGGTCTTAACGGCGCTCCTGGTTTGTGTATTTTTACGCGTCCGTATAGTTTTGGGATTTGTGACCCAATCGGTTTGATATTTCTATATGTGTTTTCGTCTATGTATTTATTTTTGAAGAGTTGTCGTAGATGCTGCACAATTTTCCTTTCGGTTGATAACGTTTGGTCTTTTGCATGGTTATCCAATTTGAATTTAGATTCATCGGCGAGAATTTGATGCATTTTTTCGAGATAATCTATCTTGTTCATTAGCACTACACTTTGTCCTTTATCAGCTTGTAGGATAACAAGATTTTTGTCTTTTCGAAGCTTGTTTAAAGATCGCCAGTGTTCTTTGGTGATATGCGACTTTTGATTGGTCGGCATGACTCGAAATTGATGAGCGATATCAACCATCTTTGCTTTCAACCAGCTTTCGCTGTCACTGGACGTGGCATGTAGCCCCATAAGTTGATCATAAAGATTTTCGAATTGGCATTCGATATCGATTTGCTTTATCTTCTTCATGGGAACACAGAATTTGAATCCCAATGACAGAATTTCTGCTTGTTCTTTTGATAGGGAAACATCAGATAAATTATGAACATAATTAGATATATCCACTGGGAAAATTTCATTTGGCGGTTCCGGATAAAGTGACTTCTTCAGTTTCTTTACTTCTGATTCTTTTGTCTTTTTTGATGTGGCATGCAGATATTTAGTGAATTTAATATAACATACGAAGTTTAAGTCATTTTGTACATTGATCAGTTTGCTTGACAATAGGCATAAATTACTGATTTCATCTGTTTCAGAAGACAAATGTGATTCAGCAAGACGGTAAAGATTCGCTCGTGTAGGTCTCAGATGATCTTTACGCAAGGATTTGTAAAATGTTCGAGGATAAATATTATTCTGGATACATTCTTTCAAAAAATCTCGTCGTGCAGAGTGTTTAGCAATCCTGCACTTCAATTTCACTAGATCATTTAGTGCATTGATAGTGCTTTTTGGGAGACGCTTCTTCAAGAATTGAAAACATTTATTTCCCGATACGAATTTAAAACAAGCAAGAACTCGTCCGAGTTCTACCGAAATTTGATGAATTCATTAAATCCTGCTTTATTAACCTTTATTGCTTGTTTTAAATTCGTATCGGGAAATAAATGTTTTCAATTCTTGAAGAAGCATCTCCCAAAAAGCACTATCAATGCACTAAATGATCTAGTGAAATTGAAGTGCAGGATTGCTTAACACTCTGCACGACGAGATTTTTTGAAAGAATGTATCCAGAATAATATTTATCCTCGAACATTTTACAAATCCTTGCGTAAAGATCATCTGAGACCTACACGAGCGAATCTTTACCGTCTTGCTGAATCACATTTGTCTTCTGAAACAGATGAAATCAGTAATTTATGCCTATTGTCAAGCAAACTGATCAATGTACAAAATGACTTAAACTTCGTATGTTATATTAAATTCACTAAATATCTGCATGCCACATCAAAAAAGACAAAAGAATCAGAAGTAAAGAAACTGAAGAAGTCACTTTATCCGGAACCGCCAAATGAAATTTTCCCAGTGGATGTATCTAATTATGTTCATAATTTATCTGATGTTTCCCTATCAAAAGAACAAGCAGAAATTCTGTCATTGGGATTCAAATTCTATGTTCCCATGAAGAAGATAAAGCAAATCGATATCGAATGCCAATTCGAAAATCTTTATGATCAACTTATGGGGCTACATGCCACGTCCAGTGACAGCGAAAGCTGGTTGAAAGCAAAGATGGTTGATATCGCTCATCAATTTCGAGTCATGCCGACCAATCAAAAGTCGCATATCACCAAAGAACACTGGCGATCTTTAAACAAACTTCGAAAAGACAAAAATCTTGTTATCCTACAAGCTGATAAAGGACAAAGTGTAGACATGTTGATAAAATTCAATTCATGCCATCCAAATCTCAATTTCACAGTAGAACACGAGGAAAACAATACTATGAAATTCCTAGACGTTTTTCTAGCCAAAATGAATGATGGCACAATCGAAAAATCTATATTTAGAAAGTCTTCATGGACAGGACAGTACATGCATTTCAAGAGCTTTGTCCCAATCCAGTACAAAAAGAACCTAGTCAGAACACTGTTCAATAGAGCACGGAAAATTTGTTCTGACAGTACTATTGAACAGGAAATAAAATCTCTGAAGGATATTTTATCTAAGAACGGATATCCTGAGAAGTTCATTAATAAATACTCCAAAGAAACTACCCCCCGCAAAACAATTCAAACAGTTCCAAAGAAACCTGTTTATATCAATTTACCGTTCAAAGGAGATGACGTA